AATTAATTTTTATCTGTTAAGCGCGATTCTTAACCTAAAATTCGGCCGTTTTTGTGACCGATTGTTGTTAGGTGGAGTAAAAATTTGATTGTTGTGAGGTGGAGTAAAATTTTGATGTAACAAAGCTAGTAAGTATAAGTTTTTGAACAATTATATTATTTTTTATCACTATATAACTTCTATAACTATATTTTTATCGTTAAAATGCTTTTTCTCGTCCTAAAAACACAATTTCTTTTTATAAAATAAATTTAATATTATTTATAGGTATTTTATAACTTATAAATTATAAGTATTTATAGATATATATAGACTGTTGAGATTAAAAATAAATATTTAAATTTGAATCTAGACTTTTTGTCATTATTAAAGTATAATTTGTTTACCAGTAACTTTATACTACCATAATGGATAAGTAGATATGAAAAAAACATGGACGGTTATTACCGTCATGACCCACCACACCTTTCTTTTTTGAAAAAAAACTCATAGTGGGGCATGACGGCTATAGCCGTCAAACTTTTTTAAAGGCCATATACAGCCCTAAAGGCATCATCAAGTTACCAGTAAAATTTTTTGATGATAGGATAAAAGGTGTATGAATTATTCAAGTGACGCAGCAGGTCCCGCCAAAAATTTGTCTGTGTCCATCAACGTGTTAAGCCAGTTATAGCTAGCTTAAGTTGACATTATTAAGAAAGTTATAGCTAGCTTAAGTTAACATTCTTAAAACAGTTATAGCTATATTACCTTCACATTTTTAAGACAGTTATAGCTAGCGTTACTTGACATTCTTAAGACAGTTATAGCTAGCGTTACTTGACATTATTAAGAAAGTTATAGCTAGCTTAAGTTAACATTCTTAAAACACTTATAGCTAAATTACCTTCACATTCTTAAGACAGTTATAGCTAGCTTGACATTCTTAAGACAGTTATAGCTTAAGTTGACATTCTTAAAACAGTTATAGCTAGATTACCTTCACATTCTTAAGACAGTTATAGCTAGCTTTACTTGACATTCTTAAGCCAGTTATAGCTAGCGTTACTTGACATTATTAAGAAAGTTATAGCTGGGCCATTCCACGCTTAACGGATAGGACAATTGCCGTGTTGAGCCATTCCATGCCAAATCAACACACTTTAAAAAGAAATTTTTCCTCACCATTTCAGATTTTCCTAAAATTTGGTATACTTATACTATGTACTAAGACTAAGAAAAATACCAATTTTTAAATTTTTATCTCACACCGTTTCCGATATATGGCTATGTAAAGTTTTTAAAAACTCGCGAAAAAAGTGTGAACGTTTATTTATTAAATTGCGCTGGAAGCTGTCCTAATTTAGTTAGAAAGCTGGGAGAGGTGTCATTTTGCAGCATTTTAAATGCTCTTTCAAATGACATACGACTGCCAAGGGTATTAATGAAAAGATTTTGTTCAAAATCCATATATATATTTTGATTCAATTTTTTTTTTAAAAGTACATAATTTAAAATTCTCAAAATATTTGTATAAATACTTGGTAGTGTTCTGAATCATATAATAAAATATTAATGTGGGGTCTTAATGGGTTCATTGTTAAAAAAAATATTTCTGATGCTGGTTTTTCACTTTTAACTAATTTTGACATTATTCAACGTTTATCAGGCTTAAGCCTGACAATTGTATTTTTTTTTATAATGTCGGCTGTCATCATTCCCGACTTGTGTAATTTAATTACTGTGATACGCTTGTTTTGGCGATTTATATTGAACTAAATTTTAAACAAAACAACATAAAATGAATATTTTCAAAAATATAAGGGTTCTAAGAACCCTAATAATATCGGCTGCCTACATTCCCGACTTTTTTAATTCAATTACTGTGATACGCTTTTTTTGGGGATTCATATTGAACTAAATTTTAAACAGAACAACATAAAATGAATATTTTCAGAAATGGAAGGGTTCTAGGAACCTGCTCGAGCAAACAATTTCCGCGAAAACCTTATTGATAAATTTTAAACTCGCTTAAAAAAAAATTCAGGGAACTTTTATCGGACCCTGTATATATTCGTAGTTTATTTAAAAATAAAACTATAAATGTGTGTGTTTAAAGTGATTTTGGTGTCAACATGGAGCCTACTATTGTAAGAGTGCAGTGTTATAATCCAATGAAAAAAACAAATCATTTTTTTTTTATATGAACCCATTAAGACCCCACATTTATATTTTACTATATGGTTTAAAACAGTACTAAGTATTTATACAAATATTTTGAGAATTTTAAATTATGTACTTTTTGAAAAAAAAATGAATCAAAATATATATATGGATTTTGAACAAAATCTTTTCATTAATACCCTTGGCGTTCGTATGTCATTTGAAAGAACATTTAAAATGCTGCAAAATGACACCTCTCCCAGCTTTCTAGCTGAATTAGGACAGCTTCCAGAGCAATTTAAAAAATACACGTTCACACTTTTTTCGCGAGTTTTTAAAAACTTTACATAGCCATATATCGGAAACGGTGTGAGATAAAAATTTAAAAATTGGTATTTTTCTTAGTCTTAGTACATAGTATAAGTATACCAAATTTTAAGAAAATCTGAGGTGGTGTGGTAAAATGGGTGTGTTGAGTTGACATGGACTGACCCTGTTTTTATTTACAAAATAATATTGTTCTATTATATTACCAATGTCAAATTTTTATAAATAGTTCTAAACTAAAGCTGTTTAACAAGGTTTTTATTTGGCAAAATTAGGTATCGTGGTTGACTGTTTAATTCCTTAAAAACTAATAATTTAAAGCGTAACGGACGGGACAGCTTTAGTTTAGAACTATTTATAAAAATTTGACATTGGTAATATAATAGAACAATATTATTTTGTAAATAAAAACACGGCAATTGTCCTATCCGTTAAGCGTGGAATGGCCCAGCTAGCTTAAGTTAACATTCTTAAAAGACTTATAGCTAGATTACCTTCACATTCTTAAGAGAGTTATAGCTAGCTTTACTTGACATTCTTAAGACAGTTATAGCTAGCTTAAGTTGACATATTTTAACAAAATACTACTATGTCAGTTTTTAAGAGTAAATTTTATTCATATTAGCGATTTTTTTATACAAAGGACGGCATTGGATTCACCACCCCTCAAAACAACCCTAAACTAAATTTTATTGAAAAATTTTATGTAGAAAAATGCACAATAACTACAAAAAAAGTGTCTGTCAAGTTATCCATGAAAAAAACATTGAAATAAAATTAAACTAATAGTAACATGGTACTATTACTATAAGTTTAATTTTACGTCAATGTTTTTTTCATGGATTACTTGACAGAATAAATTTTTGTAGTTTTTGTAGGAAAGGATCGCTAATATAAATTCATAAAAAATTACTCTTAAAAACTGACATAATAGGCCTTGTATTTTGTACAAATATGGCGTTTTTTGCTCCAAAAATACAGTTTATCAAGATCTACACTTTAAAACAAATTCGGTTAAAATCCAATTAATAAAGATTTTACAGGGGTGAGTCGCAAACAAATGGATCACACTGTATATTTCAAAGGGAGGTGGACATTTTAAGTACAATTTTGTACTTTTGAACTTAATTATTTTTCTTGGAAATAGCCGTTTTTGTTTGTATAATTTTGCAAAATATACTACGCAATATTTCGCTTTTGAAACTAGACGACTCATTTTTAAGATACACTCACAGGAAAAATAATCGATCCACCCAAATTTTCGATGAATTTAAATCGTAAATAACTTTTTTATTTGATGTCCGATTTAAACGAATTTTTAAGAATATAGTGGATAAATTAAATGCTTACATTTTAAAAATTTACTAAAAAATAGACGCACGTTTATAATATACAGGTAAACAAAAAGATGTTTTGTACAGTAAGTTTAAGACACTCTGTAGAGTGGCGAAACAGTATATTGTTCTAAATTGAGTTTTAATTATCAAAATAAACAAAAAAAACAATTTAATAGCTTTTTTAAAAGCCGTATATGACATGTCCAAGTATGGGATATAATCTGTAGGATGATTCAACCAAACTGTCATCCTCCATAGTTACCTTAGTTCTTCGTACAGAAAAATTATAGGAAATTGCAATGTTTTTTAAAAAAATTCATATTTTCCACAAAAATTAAGATATCAAGGTTAACTTAAACCAAACATGTTGTATGTGACCTAATAATTAAAACTAAATTTAGAACAATAAACTTATGGTAAAAAACATAATTTTGTTTAAACCTGTATATTAAAAATATACGTCTATTTTTTAGTAAATGTTTAAAATGATAGCGATTTTCCCTTAATTTATCTACAATTTTCTTCAAAATTCGTTTAAATCCGACATTAAATAAAAAAGTTATTTGCGATTGAATTTCATCGAAAATTTGTATGGATCGATTATTTTGCATGTGAGTGTAGCTAGCTTTTCTTGACATTCTTAAGAAAGTTATAGGTAGCTTAAGTCAACATTCTTAAAACAGTTATAGCTAGGTTACCTTCACATTCTTAACTCAGTTATAGATAGCTTTATTTGACATTTTTAGGATAGTAATGGTTAGCTTTTCTGGACATTCTTAAGACAGTTATAGCTAGCTAACTTGACATTCTTAAGACAGTTATAGTTAAAGTTGACATTCCTAAGACAGTTATAGCTAGATTGCAAGGGTATAGGGAGAGATGACAGTTATAGCTAGATTGCAAGGAATTTTTAGCTCATATGTCCCGAAGGGCAAACTTGATAATACCCTGGGAATAAGGGTTACCAGAAACCTATAAAAGATTTTCCCTTTACATTTTTAAGACAGTTATAACTAGCTTGAGTTGACATTCTTATAGCTAGTTACAAATTCCTTTAAGAATGTTACATAGCTATAACTGTCTAAAGAATGATAAGTTAAGCCATCTATAACTGTCTTAAGAGTAAGAGTGTCAACTTAATCTGAACATAGTTTTAACTGCCTTGAGACTAATATTATATTTTTTTATTTACAGAATAGGATAGAAACCTTTATACAAAAATCCGAACGACGGCTGTTCACAAACTTCCACAGGTAAGAACAAATAAAATTAATTAATACTTTTCACCCCATCCTTCCTAAATACCACGTTGCCATTTTTATGACAAATACAACGTGGAAAATACAAGGTTATATTAAATGCTACGTTGCCAAATGTACCCCAATTGCGACGTTGCCAAATGTACCCTAATTGCGACGTTGCCATTTTTATGTTTTTTGCAAATTTTGAAAAAAATATCATTTTCTCCAGACAAGTGTTCTGCTGGATGGACAGATGGCACGGAATGACGATGGACGACATCAGAAGGCTCGAGGACAAAACCAAAGAAGAGCTGGAGGCGTTGCGTAAAAAGGGCGAAGTGAGGGGCATGAAGGCGGAAGCGGAGTAACAACGTTTCCTTCCCGCACCGGAATAAACCGAAAAAATGCCCCCCTTCAACAATAAAACCCACCGCAGCATACACGACATAAATGAGAATGCCCCCCCCCTAACATTCATGAAAGGGGGCCCCTAGCAAATTTTAATTAATTAAACAATTAAATATAATAATAATAAATTTTAAAATTTTAAAAATTCTTCGATTCAATGTTGAGAACATGAAAATACTTAAAACGGGGTCGCGATTTTTAGCGACCTTTTTCAATGATCGTTTTGGCCCTGCGCACTCTTAGGCGCGCGCCACCGTAGCGTATTCAGTATTTTTAAGTGTATAAACTTTTAAAAAAATAATTTTTAGCATTTAATCCAGTGAAGTTACCAGGGTGCGTCGAAAGTATCACGGGGTCAAAATTCAGCCGAAATAGCCTATAAAAAATTGATAAATTATTAATAAATTTAATTTACAGCCTAGTTACTTTGGGAAATAAATTCTGAACGCAAACACGAAATTCCGAGAAACTTCGCTTAACTCGACATTCCTAGTGCAGTCAGTTGTATCTATATTAAGTTGACATTCTTAATACAGTTATAGCTATCTTAACCTGACATTCTTAAGACAGTTATATATATATCGAATTTCTTCAACCAGTTATAGCTATCTTTAATTTGACATTCTAAAAACAGTTATAGCTAGCTTAAGTGGACATTCTTAAAACATTTATAGCTAGCTAGTCCATAAATCTCGTGACGCTGGTAGGGAAGGGACAATTTTTTTTTAAACGTCATGTTACTAAGTAAATCAAAAGAAATCCCTTAATTGTTCCATATTTAGTCGGAATATTAAGCAAAAAAAAAATCGAAAAAATGTTTTAGGGAGTAGGGGGTTTGATAATTCGTCACATGACACATTGTGTTACAAGGGAGGGGGAGGTGGTCAATTTTGACCGTTTTTAGCTTCATGAGATTTATGGACCGCCCCTAAAGGTGATATTCTTAAAACAGTTATAACTTGACACACTTAATTTAATGATTTAATAATTTTAATCTAACTATAGCTGTCTTAAAAATGACAACCTGAGCTAGCTATGACTGTTCTAAGAATTTATTACGCTAGCTTTGACTGTTCTAAGAAATTCAACTTAAACTATCTATAACTGTCTTAAGAATGTAAAGTTAAGCTAGCTAACTGACTTAAAAATGTCAATTTAAGCTAGCTATAACTGTTTCAAAAATGCCAACATAAGCTAGCTATAACTTTTTTAAAAATGTCAAATTACGCTAGCTATGTGTTCTAAGAATGTCTTAACTATAACTGTCTTAAGAATTTAAATTTAAGCTATCTAACTGACTTAAAAATGTCAACTTAAGCTAGCTTTAACTGTCTTAAGAATGTGAAGTTAACCTAGCAATAACTGCCTGAAGAATATCAACTTAACCTAGCTATAACTGTCTCAAGAATGCCAACCCAAGCTAGCTATAACTATTTTTAGAGCTGTGATTGTTTTAAGAATGTTATACGCTAACTTTGACTGCTCTAAGAACGTCAACTTAAGCTAGCTACGACTGTATTAAGAATGCCAACTTAAGCTAGCTATAACGGTCACAAAAACATGCAAAAATGATTTTTATAATCCAGTTTGTTCAGAATTCGCCTAAACTGACTGGGCTGTTACTAATAATCTTAAGTTGCAAGGAGTTTAATACAGGGTGCTCTGATTTCTTAAGAAGAATAGTTGTTTTTTTAACACCCTGTATAGAGGCGACTTGGCGTGTTTCATATTCAGATAATTAATAAAAAGCGGTTAAATGCAACAAGGTGCGAAGTGATATTGTTTTGCGTCTTTTTGCCCATCAAGTACTATAAATAAATAAATAAAAACAAGATTTTATCGTAACCATATGGTTTAATATATTTTATATTGTTTTTAATAAAATCGAAAGCCATTATTGTGTGTTTTAGGGAAATTTATTGTTTTATTTTTAATTTTTGTACAAATTATATTTCTTTTCTTTATTACTAAAAATAACCCATTCCTATTAACTTATAGTCAATTATTCGCGATGATTTTTTTATATAGAAAAGTTACTTACAATAAAGATTATAGACAAATCTTATTTATATTATTAATTTATGTTATTTTGGAAATTTTGTATGCACACTTTTTTATTTCACTAAAAAAGAAACCATTTTGACAACAATATACAGGGTGTTCGTAACTTGCTATTAACCCTACACACAAGCGTATTCCACAAATTTAAATACCTAACTACTTAATACGTCCTCGTCACCCTGTATATTCTTGTGTAATAATTATTAAATGAAGTTCTAAGTGTTTAGCTAGTTGTTATTGAGAAAATTTGTATGTAGGATATTTTTGGGAACATGTTGACAATATAACGCTAAAAAATTCATCTAGTCATTTTAGTGTTTTAAAAAATAATTCGGTTGGCCAGCCTTTCTGTCGAAGCGTTTTTTTATTGCAAACCGGCAAGGCTCGCTATTGGTCAACTATACTAACTAATAAATTTTGTTATTTGTCAAAGTGGTTTCGGTTCAATTGAGTCGGTTAGGATACAAAACAACAGATTTAAATGAATAGATTATAAATATTGTAAATTGAAGTGAAAATAATTATATTACAACACAGTTACATAAGAGTTTTATTTACCTAAAATATACCTATATTATATAATGTGAATAAAAAACAAATTGTTCATAAAGTATAGGGCTACAGAATGATTTCAATTGACATCGCTGTTATCGACACAAATTTCTTAAAAAAACTTATTTGCTAAAATAAGAATCAAAATAAAAATGTTACTTAAGACTCTAGTAAAGAGTCAAAATCACTATTAAAATTGGTGGCCCATTTTTTTTGCTAATAAGTACTTTGCAATGGCCCCAACCAATTTTTTTAACGTAAAGGAACTTTATTAAAAATGGAGGTGATTCAGGTGTCAGAACTAAATACTTTAAGTGCACGCAGATTGGTTGAAACAACGTGAATAATGAGTTCATTATTTCTGTTGTTAGGCAGGGAATTTATAATGTTTATCATTCACGAAAAAAAAACAATACTATGCAATATGAGCAGATAATATATTATCTACTCCTATACTTTAGTATATTATTATACGAGAGATAATGTAGGCTATTGTTAACAAGGATGAGGTTTGCGTCTACAGTCGCCAGATGAGAGACCTAAATCATCTGAGTGGATAATGCGCATAAACTCGAGTGTAATACTAAACTTACTCTTACTCTAATAAGTAGATAATGAAATGTTCAAAAATAAATAATAGTTATTTATGTCATTAGGTTAAGAAGTAAGGCTTTTTGTGCTAAGCTCAAAGTTTGAAGGCCGACGCGTAGCGGAGGCCTACAATTGAGCGAAGCACAAAAAGACACTTCTTGGCCGAATGGCATACAACATTTTATCTTCAAAGCACTTTATATAGGTCAATTTAATTCAACATGAAAGCGGTCTAACCTAACTTTTTTGAATCTCATTTATTTATTAGCTAAAGATTACATTAAATGTACAATAATTATTATTCCTTTTAGAAGCAGTAATAGTTTGACAATACCTAGCTACATGATTTAAGTAGAAATGGATTTTTGTAAGAAAATGGTTTACTTACCCTCTTGCTATTACATTGAATTCAATTAATTGTTTAATAAATAGGTATCTAATTTCAATTTGTTTGCATTTTTATTAAAAAAATAGGTAGTTTGGAATGTTTACGCTGTGTTTAACATTTAATTTTACTGAAAACTTAAAGCAAATTAAAATTTAAAGATAATTTAAATCGTAGAAAAAGAAAACACAACTGTGAAACGTCAAATTGCAATGTCCTAACCTTACTTTTTGTTTTATTATTCATATTTAATTTTACAATAATTTAATGAAAAATATTAAACATTATAATGTTATAACAGTAAAACAAACACATTAGTGCTTATTATAAATAAATTAAACCAGTTTAGTACGTTAATTTCTTAGAAAAGGATTAATTTGTCAAAACAATACCCCTAGCGAGAAAAAATCGAACTAATTACTTGCCTCATAAAAATTTTTATCGGCCTAGGCCATAACAAGGTATTTCTTTATCGAATGTTGACGACAATAAAGTTTAAATTATAGACCGCGTGGAGATAAATAAAATTTAACATCTGTCAAATGGTTAAGCTTACTTTTTACCAATTTTAAATGTTATTATAGTCGCCTTCTCCCAATTTCGAACCAGATTGGTTCAAATAAAAGTGAATCTTAAAATCGGCCAATCACTGATGCCTAACAACGTGAATAATGCTTCGTAAACAAGATACTATTCTTATTAAAAATTTAAAGTGCTCTGTGTCACGTGGTAATGTTAGTCATGTTTCCATGACACTAAGTGACCTTTTAAATACACATTGACAAGTTGTGGCTCTATGGCCTTTTAGTCACGGGCTGAAGTTAGTTTTAAGTTAGTTGACAGCTATCAATTTTCATACAATCCTTAAAATACTAAATGTAAAAAATTATTTTATTATCCCAACACAAAAGTGTTAAATTGTTTCTCAACGCCAATATTTGAAAAGTTTTTATGACCTTTTAATTTCGCCGGAGGTAAACTAGTTTTAACTTAATTTTGGGTGGAGTGCCACGCTTCTACATCGAATGTTTAATTAACCGTTTAGGTTAATTATTAAGGGATACATTTCAATTTACACATTAAAATTTTACTTTTTCAGATTCCCAAGTTGTTTAATCTATTGTTTTATAGATGTGGCTCTATACAAATATTTCATTTAAACTCGTTTATAAACTTTTCTAGACACACATTTAATCAAGCACTCGCTCGCAAGCGTTTGTCAAACTTGATACATAAAATACTATTTTTTGGGTTTTTTGGTTAATAAAAACGAGGCGCAGTTTAAAGTAACAATTATTTTATTGAATACAAAATAATAAATAAAAAAATAAATCACATTTTAGCAATTTCCTCAGATCATCCTGTCAAAAATCAATCAAAACAAACAAAAAAAAACGTAAAAGTTTTACGTTTTACGGTAAAACGTTTATGTTTGATGCAGTAGTGAAATGAATAAAATCGATATGGTTGATAATTTATTTACATATACTAGTTTTGGAAGGACATTAAAAATAAAATATATTGAGCTGAATTATAATAATTATAATTATAAACTAAGTATCATACATATAAACAATTATTAATACAGCCTTTCATTCTCACTTGTTGATTCCTTTAAAAATCATTATCTTGCACTACTTCTTGTTCTCTGGAAATAAAAAAAAAACGAAAAAAAAGGCAAATAAATTAAAAAGTTGTGTCCGTCTTACCTTCTGCTTGTTTTCGATGAAACTCTATGTGTCAACAAGCCAAAAAAAATTAAAAAAAAATCAGCTTTTTTTAATTTCATTGTCTGTTTTATATTTACCCATGTACTCTAGCTGTTGTTTGCGATGGGTCTCCATCAAGGCGTTCAACTCCGCCTTCTGTCTGTTCAACATTTCCTCAAAAGTCTCCTCCTAAATTCAAACACAAATTTCAGATATTTAAAGGAAAATATGTCAAAAGGCATACAGCGTGACCGGAAAACGAGGTACCGCACAAAATTTGCTCATAAATAAAACCACCTGCAAATGTTTTCTCAAAAATGTCAATTGAAGTTAGATTACATTTTTTTTAAACTTAAGTTAAATACAGGGTGTCACCTAATAAATTGTCATCCTTTGGGAGGATGATAGTAATGATTTTGTATTTAAAAAAAATGTCACTAATGCAAAAATGATAAAGTAAAATCTTTCTTATATGGCGTGTACTATCATCCTCTTAAAGGATGACACCCTGTATAATTGTCTTAGAAACGTCATAATTGCGTGGTGTAGTGCGCCATTTTCGGGACACCTTGTATAAAAATTTGGTTCCTTTGCCAATTAAGTTTGATTTTAATAGTTATAATTGTTTAAAATAACCTGTCACCTTTTAATATTACAATTCTTTTAATATTAATTATAGAAAAAACATTATATTTATAAATTATTTTAATCGTTAATATTTTTAAAAATAACTTTTTGTACAGCAAATAAATGACAATTTTAACAGATTAATCGTAAAAGGTTAAGGTCAACATTTTTAACGTATTGAGCAACATGGCTTTACATAGACAACATCGTATTTAGAAAAAATACTATACACAAGAGACAAAGTAAAAATTCAACAGAGAAAATTGGTATTCACAAAAACGTTCAATAATATTTTTGGTAAGTCTACAAACTACATGAAATACGGCGCCATCTATAGTACACTACTATGCCCATATCATTAGTAAACAAGCTGTTTCAATATAAATATATTACGTTTTTGAATTTAAAACAACATATTTTTATATTAACAGGGTATACTTAGAAAGCAACATAACACTTATGGCCATATGCACAAGGCATAGTACAGATTTGTTGCACCAACAATTTTTCGTAACAATTAAACGAGTTTAAAATGTCAACTCAAAATTCGACAAGCTAGCTATAACTGTCTTAAGAATGTCGACAATCTAGCTACAACTTTCTTAATAATGTCGACAAGCTAGCTATAACTTTTTTAAGAATGTCGACAAGCTGACTATAACTGTTTCAAGAATGTCAACTATAAGTGTTTGGGAATGTCCACAAGCTGGTGTAACAGTTTTAAGAATGTCAACTTAAGCTAAATATAACTGCCTTAAAAATATCGACAAGTTGGCTATAACTGTTTTAAGAATGTCGACAAGCTTTATAACTGTCTTTAGAATGTCGACAAGCTGGCTATAACTGTTTTAAGAATGTCAACCTAAGCTAAATATAATTGTATTAAAAATGTCGACAAGCTAGCTATAACTGTCTTTAGAATGTCAACCTAAGCTAAATATAACTGTCTTAAAACGTCGACAAGCTGGCTGTAATTGTTATAGGAATGTCAATCTAAGCTTAATATACCTGTCTTAAGAATGTCGACAAGCTTTATAACTGTCTTTAGAATGTCGACAAGCTGGCTATAACTGTTTTAAGAATGTCAACCTAAGCTAAATATAACTGTCTTAAGAATGTAGACAAGCTGACTATAACTGTTTTAAGAATGTCAACCTTAACTAAATATAACTGTCTCAAAAATGTCAACAAGCTGGCTGTAACTGTTTTAAGCATGTCAACCTAAGCTTAAATAACACTGTGCAACACAAAAAATGAACTGGGATCAAATCTGAAAAAATCGAATCTAGGCAACCCCCAAAACAAATCCTTTAAGGGGTTTTACCAGTTTAGCTCTAATAATGGAGATATACAGGGTGTTTCTTTTAACTTAACAATAGACAGCTCAATATCTCAATATCTCGAGAAATACGCATTTCACGGAAAAATGTCTTAAATAAAAGGTTAATGTGACTAAAGGGGACATTATTTGGTGCTACCGCTAGCCACCCCCTACCCCTCCTTAAGGGTGAAACGGGGGGTAACTTTGGAAAGTCAAATGGAATGACCCGATTTTTTTCACAGAGTTTGGTAGTACATAAAAAAATAAATAACTTTTATTTAAAACTTTTTTCAATTTATCAACAGATGGCGCTGTAATTCAAAATTTAAGAAATATGAGTTTCCTTGTAAAATGTATTATTTGAAACGTTTGAAAAACAAAAATTAACATTAACAACAATAGTCGGCTATGAAAACAATTTATAACAAATGTTCGAAATGTCGTCATTCCATTTCCATTTTACAAGGAAACCCCTTTTTCTTAAATTTTGAATTACAGCGCCATCTGTTGATAAATTGAAAAAAACTTTCAAATAAAAGTTATTAATTTTTTTATGTACTACCAAACTCTGTGAAAAAAATCGGGTCATTCCATTTGACTTTCCAAAGTTACCCCCCGTTTCACCCTTAAGGAGGGGTAGGGGGTGGCTAGCGGTAGCACCAAATAATGTCCCCTTTGGTCACATTAACCTTTTATTTAAGACATTTTTCCGTGAAATGCGTATTTCTCGAGATATTGAGCTGTCTCAAGTTAAAAGAAACACCCTGTATATCTCCCTTATTCGAGCTAAACTAGCAAAACCCCTTTAAAGATTAGTTTTGGGGGTTGCATAGATTCGATTTTTCCACATTTCATCCCAGTTCAAATTGTAAGGTCAAAATTTGTCGCACAGTGTAATTGACTTAAAAATGTCGACAAGCTGGCTGTAACTGTTTTAAGCATGTCAAGATAAGCTAAATATAACTGCCTTAAAAAGTCAACAAGCTGGCTGTAACTGTTTTAAGAATGTCAACCTAAGGTAAATGTAATTGTCTTAAAAATGTCGACAAGCTAGCTATAACTGTCGCTAAGAATGTACACACGCTGGCTCTAACTGTTTTAAAAATGTTAACCTAAACTAAATATAACTCTCTTAAAAATGACGACAAGCTACCAATAACTGTTTTAAGAATGTCAACCTAAGCTAAATATAACTGTCTTAAAATGTTGACAAGCTGGCTGTAACTGTATTAGAAATGTCAATTCTAAGCTTAAATATAAAAGTCTTCAAAATGCCAGCCAGCTCTAACTGTCTTAAGAATGTCGCCAAGCTAGCTATACATGTTTTGAGAATGTCAACCTAAGCTAAATATAACTGTCTTAAGAATGTCCGCAAGCTGCCTTCAAATGTTTTAAAAATGTTAACCTAAACTAAATAAGTATAACTTTAATATGCCGAAAAGATACCTAAACCTGTTTGAAGAATGTCATCCTAAGCTAAATATAAATGTCTTTAAACTGTCGACAAGCTAGCAATAAATGTCTTAAGAATGTCGACAAGTCATCTATAACTGTTTTAAGAATGTCAACCTAGGCTAAATATAATTGTCTTAAAAATTTCGACAAGTCATCTATAACTGTTTTAAGAATGTCGACATAGGCTAAATACATATAATTGTCTTAAAAATGTCGACAAGCTACTTATAAATGTCAAGTTAGCTATAACCGTCTTTGGATTATCAACTAAGTTGTCATTACAAAAATGTGTTGGTTAAACAAATCTAAACCACGCCCCTTGTTAAAATTGATTAGTATAGTTGAAAATGTTACTTAGCACAAGCCCACTACAATAAACTACCGCAGAGCAGCGCCATCTTCGAACGCAACCACCAAGTTGTCATTCTCACTTGAGAGAGATACTTTATCTTACCGTTTTAGCTAAATAAGTTTCCAAATATTCTCCTATAGGCACCACCCTGTCGCAATCAGTGTTGCCACAACAACATTTCGTGATTATTTTGTCAGTTGTGTTGGATTTCGGCATTAAATTAAACGCGTCGGAGGCTTCGTATGATTTATGGCCGCCTATCGAGCCCGATTTGAAGCCCATTGAGAGGCGTATTTCGGGTTTGAAGGTGCTGGAGTGAATGGTGTGGTATGGGTCGATGTTGTGGTGACGTTTTTTGGGGGTTTTGCGCAAATTTTGGAGGGAATTTGAGTGTTTTAGTTTTTTGTGTTTGTTGCATCTGGGAGAATCATCTTCAGACTCTGGGAAGTCGGATGATGATTCTGTTGCGTCGTTGTAGCGTCGATATTGAATGTCGTTAACGTATATAACGTCATCGTGAAGTTTTTGGAGCGAGTTCGAATGTTTTAAACGTATGTTACGTCGTAGGAAGTCTAAAGGGGTTAGGTCCGGTCGTTTATGGAGACGGTATGGTTTTGTCGTGTCCTCATCGAGAAAATCTGATGCGTCAGAGAACACATCGTCGTTTTCTATGGTACCTACGCTACTTAAGTCATCATCACTTCTTTCAGAATAAATTTGTTGATTTGTTAGGTCGGGGAGACTGACGTTTTTATGGGAGACGTTGTTTATTTCTAGTTTAACGCCCGTTAGAATGTTTGCCAAGGTTTTGTGTATATCGGGCATGCTACTTGTAAAATTTTCATCGTCCGGGGGGTGAATGATTATTTGCGGATAAACTCGGAAAGATTTCGACATTCTACGCGCGGTGCTCGCGCTTTTTCTGCGTATATTATCGCTTGTTTTTATCGGTAAAATATCCTCAATTTGATTTTTTAAATCGTTAAAAGTGAGCCGCGATTTCGTCGATGATGTTATTAACTGATTTTTTGGTGCTATAATGGTGGTGCCAGTGCTATATACTCCATGCTTCTACAAATACAAAATTAAAAAAAAACACAAACAAAAATTAATTTCCGTGTCGAAATGTTATGTTATGAGGTGTGTTAGTGTAGTACACAGTGTAAAATGTGAATAAATAAAATTAAAACACAAATCTAATATAATGGACTAATAATGATACGACAAACACAAAACATTTAATGTTAGTTTACAACGTCTAAAATAATTGTTTTGTTATGTTTAAGTTTAGGGAGTCTTACCTTTATCTTTGACTCCTCTTCAAAAACCATTTCTTCTGAAAATAATACAAAAAAATACATTGGTACATTGAATTTTCTGTTTTAACCTTGACTTCAAGGGCTCTATCATAGAGCCTCTATGACAAAACTTGTCTAAAGATAGTTATTGGGATCTGTCAGATGGAAGGCATTAGGCCAAACAATTTACTAGGATTTTTAAGTGTTGAACAAAAACCGGAAAACGATTTTTTTTCGTATTTTTTTTCAGGCCTAGGAAAAATTGGCTTTTTTTGGAAAAAATTGAATAGGCATCTTTTAACATTATTTTAATCAACAAAAAATCCTATTACAAAAAAAAAACAAATAAAACTAAACATAAAGTTGTGGAGGCGCCAAGTCATGCTAAGCTAAAATCTTTTTAATTTCGAAGTTTTTAAGCAACATGCAACGTGATATGTTTTTCCCACATTTTATAATTAAATATACTCCTTAAAAATAAAAAGTTTACAAAAATTCCGGAACCATATTTTTAAGGTAAAAACTTTTTTGGTTTAGCTTTATATGCAATCTTGAAAAAATGTTAAAGAACAAATGAGGAGCGATCAGACAAAACCAGACAAATTCATTTTGGTGATTTGCAGAAAGAAATCAAAAATACAATAATTCTTTTGCTTTTGACTTATTTCTGCAAATCACTTAAATGGATTTGTCTGGTTTTGTCTAATCGCTCCTCAAATATCCAGCTAAAAGTTGTACCTATTTGATATCAAATCAATCTCAAATCTGAAGTTATAAATTAAAATAGAGGGTGGTGTAATACAAATTTTAAAGTTTAAAACTCATGAATCACATTAGTGGTTTGGTGACAGGTTTTTCTTCAATTTTTTAAATTAAATTTTTTAACTTGTCCACTGCAAATCAATAAAGTATTGTTATAGAAAATTTAATAACCAATATTTTAAGCATACATGCGTCAATATCGGCTGAGATTTAGACATAGATACGGTAAATTTTGTAAGGCATTGTAAATTTTAATTTTTTACAATTTTTTACATTTTTTTATATTTATTTAATTTTTTTCATAAAAGTTTTTAAAAAAATTAAGAAATTTAAGTATTAAAAAAAATAGTTTTTATAATTTACTTAGAACACTTATTAAATAAAAAATATATTGTAAAAAATTAAATTTTACATATACATTTGCTTTAAAAAATTGAAAGTTTAAAATTTAAATCTCATCCTATATTGAAGTCCCACACAGCATTAATCTCTGAAAGACATCCATAACATATCTTTTTTTAGATCTCTATTAGACATCTCCAAAAATTCTAAAAACAGTTCTATCTATAGATTTCTTAAAAATATCTTGAAACAGAATAAGATAAAAATATTAATAAAAAAATATTAATTTTATATACTCACGCTCGCTAACTATAAATACCGGTAGGCTATAAACATTAATAATATTGTGGCGTGCGTCCAATAATATTAACAAATAATCAAGTTTGTTAAAGTACAAATACCCACTATACTGCCCTACTAGGGGGCCGTCCATAAATCTCGTGACGCGACGTTTTAATAAACCCGGGCGTGACAAATATCTTTCTGATATCTTCTGCATGTTGTATTTGAGTATCCAAGATGAGACATCATTTTGATATCTTATTTCAGATACCTTATAGAGGGCTAAAAAGAGAGCATAATATGTATGTCTTTTAGATATATTTTTTATGTATTTTAGATATCTCTTTGAGGGCTAAAAACGGCGCTTTTTAAATATCTTGCAGATATGATTCGGCATATATTTCAGACATCGTTTTAGAGGAAATTTTGCTGGGTGGGTATGCCTACAACTTTAGTAATTAAATTCTCTAAAGCATAGGGGGCTAACAATTTATTTTTCAGTTTTTTTCGGATTTACATGGACATTTGGACGGCTTTCTGCAGAATGGGACCAACCCACACCATGATGAAACTGAGAAAAAAGCTATCAAAGATTTTAATAATTTTAAAATTACCTGTTAATTTTATGCCGATTTTGAACTTACGGAGGTTTAAGGGATATAATTTAATAATTTCATCAGGTGGATTTTGTGATGTTATGTGTAAGGGTGACGAAAAAAATGGGCTTTTGTTGGTTGGTTCCTTTCTGCAATTTATGAAAACTACTATCTGATGTATGTATGTATTTAAAGAAAAGCGACAATTATTTATTTCCAAACAAAATACAACTGATATTACTATTATAATGGTAATATGAATTAATTTTGATTCTATTTGAAATTCGTCCACATCATCTTCCAACCCCACCTCATCTTGTAAGCTACCAAAAAAATGCATCAAGACTTTATATTTTGCAGAAGCAGGAAATCTTTAAAGACTTTGGTAGTGGGTCTACCAGCCTGCTTTTTTACAAAAAAGATCCAACCCACTTGCATATATTCTACAGATTCTAATTCTGGATTAGTAATCCACACTATTATTGAATGTTGGTTGGTTCAATGATTAATAGATTTCACTACACTTGCATTTTGGCTATGACCTATTTTGCAGATAAATTATACACACTTAATTAGTTCATAGGCTAAATATCTCGATTTTTTTGGTTTTGTGGGTTGGTTCCTTTCTGCAGAAAGGCGTCCATTTGTTATACAAATTTTTTAGCTAGATAATTGATCTGTAACATTTTTTGAAGATTTTATACGTATCTCGAAATCTAGTACAACTTTGTCAAAAGTTGTAAACTGAACTATAATTATAATTATTGTAGCACATTATGATCACGATTATAACTTTTTATTTTATTGTTTTTTACGAAAATGAAATTTTAATTCATATCAATATCACATCCTTTTTAGACACAAACAAACTTCTTTTTGGACTTTGCATTCATTCAACTGGAAACTCTACTGTTTACATATCGTCGCCTTCAGGAGAAAATCACGTAACTCCACATTTTCATTAAAATGGTATTTTAGTGGCATCTGTTAGATAAAACTGTAACTAATTTATATGCAAGTTACAGAAGTCCTAAAATAAACCGCTAATTTTAAATTTAGAAAAAGAAATATACGTATCTCCAATCGTGGAGGAGCGTCCAGGGAATAATGCCTAACTCCAGTATACAAATCAGTGCCATTGACAAGTATAAGTTATTGCCTAGTTATTTTTTCTGTTTACGCGTAAAACCTTTGTTTTCCGAAGTGAAATTTGTTAAAAGTAAGTATGAAAGATTGTATAGTGTGTAAAGTTAAGGTACCATGAATAATTTAAGGTTACTTTTATTAACATAAAGTACATATTGGAGATACGTAATTTTCCATTAAACAATTTGGCGGTAATGTGGAGATACACCAATACACCTTTAATATGTTTTTCTTTCCTCCTGTAAAATTTTACTACATGGAGTTAAGCAATTTTCTCCTGAAGGCGACGATATAAACTTTTCCCTTATTCTAATAACAAATTTCGCCACCATTAACAGATCCCATTAAAACGTCTTTTACGATTTTAATGATATTTGGTATAAATATTTCCTAGGTCCTAAAATGACATATAAAATACTTGTAAATATAGTAATTATTTTTGCAGCTTCTTTCATTGTAAATTATTTGTATGAAAACATAATGTATTTTATCTCCACGCGGTATATAATTTAAACTTTATTGTTGTCAACATTCGATAAAGAAATAACTTGTTATGGCCTAGGCCGATAAAAATTTTTATGAGGCAAGTAATTAGTTCGATTTTTTCTCGCTAGGGGTATTGTTTTGACAAATTAATCCTTTTCTAAAAAATTAACGTACTAAACTGGTTTGATTTATTTATAATAAGCACTAATTTGTTTGTTTTACTGTTAATGTTTATTATTTTTCATTAAATAATTGTAAAATTAAATAAAAATAATAATACAAAAAGTGAGGTTAGGACATTGCAATTTGACGTTTCTGTGGATTTCAGTTGTGTTTTCTTTTTCTACGATTTAAATTATCTTTAAGTTTTAATTTGCTTTAAGTTTTCAGTGAAATTAAATGTTAAACACAGCGTAAACATTCCAAACTACCTATTTAAAAAAAAAAATGCAAACAAATTGAAATTAGATACCTATAGGTATATTTATTAAACAATTAATTGAATTCAATGTAATAGCAAGAGGGTAAGTAAACCATGTTCTTAAAAAAATCCATTTCTACTTAAATCATGTAGCTAGGTATTGTCAAACTATTACTGCTTCTAAAAGGAATAATAATGATTGTACATTTAATGTAATCTTTAGCTAATAAATAAATGAGAATCTAACAAAGTGAGGTTAGGCCGCTTTCATGTTGAATTAAATTGACCTATATAAAGTGCTTTGAAGATAAAATGTTGTATGCCATTCGGCCAAGAAGTGTCTTTTTGTGCTTCGCTCAATTGTAGGCCTCCGCTACGCGTCGGCCTCAAACTTTGAGCTTAGCACAAAAAGCCTTACTTCTTAACCTAATGACATAAATAACTATTGTTACACATTTGTTTTTTTAATGTGTAATGTACAGTCTCATTACTCATTTTTAATTTTTAATGAGTAATGGATTGTTCGACATTACTCATTAATTTTTTTAATAAGTATTGAAAATATTTGTCATTATTTTTAACATTAAAATTCTGATTATAACTGTTTATGTAATTGGGATTGCGATTTTTTCCCTTGAAGTAAAATCGTTTTAAACACTACAAGTTGAATAAAAATAAAAAAAACACAAAATAATAAAACTGTATACTACTTACCGGCAGGTTTCAATGCCGACTTGTTGATGGTCTCCTTGAGAAACTCGTAGGTGCTGTTGATGACGGACTTGTAGTCCTCGGCAGGCCGTTCTTCGCCACCGACAAGTCCGAAGGAAACTGCCGCTGCGGCAACGACGCCACCTGGACCGGCGTTGCCGTATGTTTGCGGATCCGAAGTGGACTCGGGCCGTTCCGGAATCACGAGCTTGCTCCGATCAGGTTCGGTGATGACGCTCACCCTGAATCGAGACACTTTGCGCTCTCTGGAGGAGACCGGATTAGATGTGGCAACAGAGCCGTTGCCAGCACACGGCATCGAAGCGTTGTCCGATACCAACTGTATATGAATTTTTTTATTAGTTTTTTTTTAAGGATTTTTAAACTTTACTTTAAAAATAACATAATTACAACAAAATTTTATCAATTATTTTCAAATTCACTTCGTAGTTATTTAAAATTCATTCAATTTTAAAAATATCTGCTTTGCGGTTAAGCAGTTATGACCTCACACCTGAATTTCCCATTTTAAACGTTTTAAATAGTAAACTTTCACATTTAGAGCAAATGTTGCCAGATGTAAAATATTTTAAAATTTATATAAACAATGGAAAGTAGTGGTATAAAGATACAACAAAGGTTTTAGAATATTTCGACTTACCTGCCGGGACGTAAAAAAACGACTAAAATTAATTTACACAAATTAACAATTGAGAAACATGCTACCACAATCCACACAACAAGGACTGTTGTTTACAATTCTTGTGCTTTGGGTTTGTGCTCTTTATAAAGATTAAAAATCGTTTTCTGTTCTCTTTTAAGCCTTGTAAGCCTTAAATGAGGTCTTAAAGTGCCAAGGACAACCTCCTCTTTTGTAAAAAATAAAGTAAAATAGTTGCCCATAGCCTCTTTTAATTCTTACAGGTGCCTCTGTAAGAAATACGACGTTTAAAACGATTATTAATCTGTGTAAATATCACAAACCCAAATCAAAAGAATTGTAAACATAAAAATGGCCGCTGTTAGAGTCTGGGCAGTGGGTTGCCTAACTTCGTGATTTTTAGTATGCGCAAAACGGGATGGAACAGACCTTGTTAGAGGATATAAATTGTAGGTTAAATAAATAAAATTTATACTGTCCGACCGAAGCTAACGATAACGATCATCATCGAATTAAAAAAACATGGCCGGTGTTTGTGTTTAAACGCGTTTGAATATTTTATTTTCCAAAAATGGTTAAAAAGCTGATTTAAATAAAATCGATCCGAAAAAAAGTCAAAATATGTTGGAAAATATTAAAAAATAAATAAATAAATAAGTGACATTTGATTAAATTTTTCCAAGTCGCCCCCCTGCCCCCCTTAGCGATGCCCATGACTATACCTTAGATACATTATTTCTTAGTTTGTATTTCACAATAATTGTGAAATATTATTTATTAAAAACTATGTATGCATACGCGCTAAGTCAAATTCACTTTCCAAATGAAAATTCCCACCAAAAAATTGAATAATAATCATGGCCTTTAATAACTAATTACTGAACTCGTAGTGATCGCTTGTAACTAGCTAGTAACTAGTCCGTAAAGATTAATTTTCATGTATTCGTTTGTCCGTTAGTCCAAACCACAGACCACAACATTCAAGAGACCACAATTATAATTCGAAAATTATAACATTTTATCGGTCCGTCAAGTTTCAACTTCGTACGTCTGACGGAGAAAGTTAAAGTTAGTTACATTGACAAGTTGTGGCTGGAAATTTTCTTGTCGGACAATTTTATTGAAAAAAGGACAAACGGATACATGAAAATTTAGTCGAAAATTGCCGTCGATCAGAGGCGCTTCCGTGAAGAAATAAAATTCAACTTCTGCTGTTTTAGAATGTTAGGACTTTAAGTATGATTTTTTTCAGATTTTGAATAAATGGCGGTTTTTAAAAGTATGTACTTATACTAATTTATTTTTTAATTTTTTTAAAGGCAGTTTAAAAAAATATTTGTTAATTTAATACTTTACTTACTACTTTTCATTGTTTATACTGTAAAGTATGCATAAAAAGTGCTGACATTTTACATTTGTTATTTTTTTTGGTTCCACTATAGGGTGTCCGGATATAACGGTAATATATTTCAGAGGGTGATTCTACACGTAAAAATAAAAGAAAAAGTTGTCATAAACAATGTCCGAAAATGCCTCATGGGTCATCAGGTTTTTATTTATTATTTATAATAATTAATTATTATTAAAATAATTATTTATTGTGTCTAAAATGTATAATAAAAATGTTGATGTCACGCGTATATTAGGGAATATTCGGATATTGTCGGTAATCACCAAAAAATACATGCAATTATTAAATTTGCATACATTTCTATAAAAAAAATAATGCACTTACATTGGTTGCAGCGTTGCCGTTCTCCACAGCTTGCACATTTAAAACGTTGTCTTTCTTGACAACATCCTGTTGCACACCGACGTCCGCAGGCGGTTTCATCAGCTGCGCAACATTCTGCTGCAAACTTTTCTCCCCGATTTCGTTCCTCGAGTTGATCCTCTTCAACTGATCGTTCAAATCCGACAGTTGTTTCTGTTTTTCCCCGGAAATTTGAGACTGGGATTCCCCCACCGTTCCCACAGATAAGACGGCTGCGGCTACGGCAGCTGCAGCTTCCAAAGCTGGAGAGAGTATTTCGGAGGTGGCGGCGCCACTCCCTGGGGCGCTGCTTAAGTCTACGTGAAGCTAAAATATGTTAAAAATATAAACAACAAATATGTAACTGTTTCTTTTATTTGTAAATTAACAGATGTTGTATTAACGCAGTTATATATATGCATTCTTAAGAAAGTTTTGGCTATATTAAGATGAAATTTTTAAGACAGTTATACCTGTCTTAGGTTGACATTCTTAAGATAATCAATATCTAGCTTAAGAAGACATTCTTAAGACATTCATGTCTTGCCCATATAAAGACAGTTATAGCCATATTAAATTGACTTTCTTAATACAGTTATATCTAGAGTTAAGTTGACATTCTAAAGAGTTAGAGTTATTTTAGGTTTTTAAGAATGCCAATCTGTCTTAAGAATATTCAACCTAAGATAGCAATAACTGTCTTAAGAAAACCAATTAAAGACACCTATAACTGTCTTAAGAATGTCAATTTAAGACAGCTATAACTGTCTTAATATGGACAACTTGAGCTAGATGTACTGTCATAAGAATGTCAACCTAAGATGGCTGCGGAAAAAACCTTTTTAACAGAAAAGAACGGAAAAATTGTAAATATTTAAAAAAAATCGACTTTTGCATTTTTTCGGTATTGTCCGTAGTACGAATTGGATTTTTTTTCAATTTTCTGAATTTTCGAAAAATTGACTTTTGAATTTATTTTCATATTATTATTATCATAAGAAGCAAATTTGTATTATAAATAATGCAAAAAACATAAAAATACTCCTTTTATTAAAATGTATGTATTTTTAAATTTTCCAAAAAAATTCAATTTGCAAAACAAATTTTTTTTCCCAATTTTATCGTTTTTTTTTCAACGCTTTGTGTGTGTGTGTGGGTCTTCCATGATACCATACTGGGATCATGGTGTATTTTTGGCTGAGCTTAGCTCCTTTGCCACGAAAATATTTTCGACGCTTTAACACGCTAATTAATAATGTCTATTTGAGACAGCTATAACCAGGGTTCGCCTGATTTAAATTATTTGATTTAAATCAAGTAATTTTTTTTATTTTATTCCAACTAAAGAACAATAATATCTTGACACTGTTTAAATAAATCCATATGCATAGAAAAACTGCCTATTTTGTTATATAAAATAATAAAGGAATATACAAAAAAATATATGACAGTTGTGGACGGTGGTTTATTTGTTTAGTAGTGTAGTAGTGCCATTATAATATTATTATAGTCAAGTTATTTTTAGTATTTTTTTTAAATAGTCAGCCATTCCACGCTACTAAAGCTTTAATAAAGTGTACTACAGCCATTCCACGGTACTCGGGAATTTTTGTAGCGTCCGTTACAATCAAAAATTGTGATTAGAAGCTACCGTAATTAAATTAAATACAATAGGGTCATTCCACGTTACTCAGGGATTTTTGTCCCGCCCGTCACAATTAAAAATTTTGAGTAAAAACTACACGTTATAAAATTTATTTTAAAATATTGTTTATTATGCTTTTAATAAGTTATAAGCACAATAAAAATAATATTATAAAATATTAATTTAATAACTTGTGGCTTTTACTCACAATTTTTAATTGTGACGGGCGGGACAAAAATTACCGAGTAACGTGGAATGCCCCAATAGTTAATATTGCAAACATGTTTATTATGCTTGTAATAATTAGGCTTAAACTTATAAGCATAATAATTACGGTAGTTTTACTCACAATTTTTAATTGTAACGGACGCTACAAAAATTCCCGAGTAGCGTGGAATGGCTGTAGTACACTTTATTAAAGCTTATAATTTAAAAATACATAAAAAAGTCATTTTTTGTTTATGTTTAATAAGAATAATTGATTTTTGATTTTTTTTTTAATCATGATTTTTTTGAACCCTGGCTATAACTGTCAACCTAAGATAGCTAAAAGCTTAAGTCAATTGAGGACACCTAAAGCTGTCTTAAGAATGTCAATTAAAGACAGCTATAACTGCCTTAATTTGTACAACTAAAGCTAAATGTAATTGTCTTAAGAATGTCAACTTAAGATAGCTATAAATGTCATAAGAATGGAAACTTAAGATAGCTATAACTGTATGTCCTAAGGCAACAAAACATTTTGACGTTAAATTTCAAACAAAAAACTGACTGCATATGTAATGTAAATGTAATGTTAATAGTTAATGAAAAAACATGCGTACCGCCGGTAAATTAGAATGTTGTAAATCTGCGTTCATAATAGGCGGAAAATCTAGCGAAGCTACTACAGTTTGAGGGCTGGGTGGCGCCTTAAATGGAAAATAAGTACATATTAATCAATTAGTATATTTAAAAAAATAGGTGTTAATTTCCGTAATTATATATTATTTTTTTTACTTACAGTTCCTTGTTGAGGCCTAGGGGTTTGCATTGATGCCAAATTTTGCTGCAAAGTTTGCAAATGTACCGCGTATTTAGCATCGTTTTGCGGCGTCGAAGCTTGACTACCTCTATTGGAATTACTGAAAGAAAAAAAATATTTTTATAAGAAAATCATCACAAGGGGATAAAATGTTACTTTTCCACGATTTGTTTAAGATTATCAGGCATTTTCTTCGGAAAACCACTCTGCATGTTTTCATCTATGGACATTGAATGCTGAAATGACGTATTTCCTCCATTTTGTCCATTTTGAGAAATATTTTGAATCGATATCGAGGAGGATATCGGATGTTGAGGGTACATTTGTGCCTGAATAAACGCAAAAATAAATAAAACTTAAGTCTAACAATAATTTTCCATACCTGTTGTTGCTGTTGATAGACGACATCTGGAGCGTTCGGAATATTCAAAACCAACTGAGGCTGACTGGCAGTTTGAACGGTAGGTGGTAACACTACCGGAACCATTTGAGGGGCGGTATTTACCACGGTAACCTAAAAACAATACATAGTCGTCAAAGTCCACACTTTTGGCTATTTTTTTACCTGAGCTGTTGGAGGCAGAATCTGCGGGGACATGATTGGTTGCGTTTGCGGCAACGGGGTCAATAGCGTCTGCGCAATTGGCACCACTGGCACAACTTGCGGTTGCGCAGCAGTCACGTTGACGTAATGCTGTTGCGGCAACGATGTAGAAACCTTTGTAAAAAATATAGAAGACATTCTAAAGACAACTTTTACGCCCATGATTTAATTTAGACAGTTTTGATTTTAGTTCTAGATTCAGGATGTAAAAATTAACAAAGTATCAAAAATGAATTTCCTTAAGAAAAAACAGGAAAAAAATCCCGTAATTCCGACAGGGGGCATTTTTTGATACATGTTTTTTAAACAAACGAGTGTTTTTTTATGCAGATTGCACTGTTTTACTTTGGTAATTTAGGGACACCCGGTATAAATATTTCTAATATCTTCTGGATGCAGTTGTATGAGATAAGATCTGATCTGATATCTTAAACGGCGCATATGATGTATATTAGATATCTTTAAAACATTGTTTCTCTCGATCAAGATATCTATGAGACATCTTTAAGAGGACATTTTGTGGTTGGAAAGTTTTATTGTAAAATACAGTTTTAAACCCCAAATAAACGTTTTTGTAGTAAATATTTTTTATATTTTTGTTTGTTAACAATTTAAGAATTTCTTTAGTATTTTTCGAAATTTTAATTTTGTTTTAGTAAAATAAGTTGGACGACAATTATTGTTAATTAATTAATTATTATAATTGGCATTAAACGCAAAAAAATTAGCTTCTGTATAAATATTTCTAATATCTTCTGGATGCAGTTGTATTTGGGTATTTGGGATATCTATACAAGGTGTCCCTAAACTTATTGGCATAAATTTAGGAAAAGATTGAGGAAGTCAAAATAAGACGAAAACCCAAATAAATATTTTTCCTAATAACTTATGTTTCCAAGATACAGGGTGATACAGTGTTACTTATCATATCAGTTTTTTTAATATAACCTCTACTGTGGTAGTTTTGGAAAGGTGATATTTTGCGAACAGTACAGTACAATTGTTTGAGTGAACACAGTGTCATAGAAACGGGGGTTGCTTTAAGCTTATTGTCCCATACAAACTTTGAGGTTAGGTTTTTATAACATTTGATACAATTTTTCGATTACACAGTTCGGCTACCATTAAAAAGGTGTACCTCTCAAACCGTTTCCGAGATATTCGAGATTACAATAATTGTTATATCGCATTATTTAAAAGGATTAAAAGGTATATGATAACAAATTTTATTTTTTAATTGAAAAAACTAAAAAGGGCATTCCATGAGCCTCGAGACTTTTTGCCCAGACCATCACATTAAAAAAAATGTAGTTTTTACAATTAAAAAATTTGTTATCATATACCTTTTAGTCCTTCAATGCGATATAACAATTATTGTAATCTCGAATATCTCGGAAACGGTTTATTTTATCGAAGTTTGAGAAGTACACCTTTTTAATAGTAGCCGAACTGAGTAATCGAAAAATTGCATCAAATGGTATAAAAACCTAACCTTAAAGTTTGTATCGGACAATAAGCTTAAGCAACCTCTGTTTCTACGACACTGCGTTCACTCGAACAATAGACCTATCCCATAAAACGGACTTTTGGATAGCGCGTGCGTGAAAAGGCACGTCGTCTTTTTTTAATTATATAAAAGAGAAAGAGATACCACTCTTTTTCAGGCACGCGCTATCCAAAAGTCTGTTTTATGGGATAGGTCTATTGTTATTATGTGTAAATATGTATTTTGGTAGTAAGTGACTGTTTGCAAAATACCACCTTTCCAAGTCTACCATAGGGGAAGTTATATTAAAAAAACTGATATGATAAGTAACACTTTATCACCCTGTATCTTTTAAACATACCTAATTAGAAAAAATATTTATTTAGATTTTCGTCTTATTTTGACTTGCTTAATCTGCTCCTAAATTTTTGCCACTAAGTTTAGGGACACCTTGTATATCTTATATCTTGTCTTATAGATATCGTATAGAGATCTTTTGGCATATCTTTAAAACATTGTTTCGCTCGTTCGTGTTTTATAATTTCCGGAAAAATTGAGCTGGAGGAAAAAAACCGCTTTTTTTCAGAAAAAAGCGGAAAAATTGGATTTTTTTTTAAATTTCATTTTAATTTTTTTCCTTTTATTCAAAGGGTAAAACGAAAAAAATGCAAAAGTCAATTTTTCTAAAAATTTCCTTACACTGACATCGAGAAAAAAGCGAATTTCCGACAATGATTATAATCTTAATATTATGATTATAATAATTATAATATTATAATAATAATTATTTGTCTTATTTTAATTCAGCAAGAATATTGTACTGGGCCGCAAAAAAACATATTCGGTGCTTTAATACATAACTTTCGTTTTATTTGACACTTCGATTTATAAAATTATAATTTTGTAAATCAATATTATAAATCATTCATTATTTTGTAATTGGATATTTTTGCAAAAAAGACCCAACTGACAGTATATTTAACGTTTACGTTTATATTCTTAAATCAATTTAATTTAATACAATCTTCAGTTTAATTTTTATGTAATAAAGGATATTTTTTTTAAACTAAAATAATGCAAAGTTTCTTAAAAAAGCCAATTTTTCCATGTCCTGGGAAAAAACAGTTTTTTTCCCAATTTTTCCGACCTTTTAAAACTCTAATCAAGATATCTATGAGACATCTTTAAGAGAAAATTTTGTGGGTGGAAAGTTAAGGATTAAACTCATTTAGTATCAGCATCCAATTAAGAAACACCCCGTATAAATGAACACCTATAAATCATTAAAAGTTAACCCACCTGTTGCTGCTGCTGCTGCTGAGCCATATGTGGCGCCACGTTCGTCAAAGGCACGAAACTCTGCTGAGAACTGGACGCCACGATTGGCGCTTGCGGCGCCATCTGTTGCACGGGCTGAACGACATTTTGAACGGGCTGAGCAGCAGGCTGCGGCGCGACGGCGCCACCTGCGACCGGTGCCGTTACCGTCTGGGAATTGTTACCTGAAGAAGCAACCGGTGCGGGCTTGTTGGTGTTCGCGACCTCGCTGTTGGACGTCACTTTTTTGACGTCACCTTCATTCGAATCTTTTTTAGGGTGGCTGCTGTATTTTAGGTTGTCCAGGCTGATTTTCAACTGCTCCAGAGTGTTTATCAACTCCGGGCCGCAGATGGTGCTGCTTTCTTGCCCCGACGGTTCTTCTTTAAGCGAGCTCACGGACATTTTTTGTTCCGCAGGTTTTTCCAATTCCATGTTGGTGCGCGTCGATTCCAACGGGGCGGAGGTTTTGCGTAGGGGTTCAGAGTGAACTTTGGGTATATCGGGTAGATTCGACGCTACATCGGATAAATTGCTCGTCGAATCGCCAAAGTCTTTATCCTTCGGCAAATCCAGTTGCCCCGAATGTACGGGGCTCACCAAGAACCTCGATATCTTCCTCTGTGGTACCTTTAGAACCTCCGGGGGTTTCTCGACGACTTCCTCGGATTTCACAGTGTTGACTTCGTCCTTACCTTTACCATCATCGTCTTTACTTTGACTTTTATCGTCCCCCACACTCTGCAGGACAAAACCTTTAAACTTAACCTTCTGTCCGGGCATCAGAACCGGTTTTTCCATATCCATAACCCTCAAGCTATCATTCAACTCGTTCTTCAACACATCCCCATAATCCACGGTCTCACTTATTATAACTTCTTCCCCGGGTATGTCGTCTTCCACTGCAGCAACATCTTTATTCTCCCCAATACTAGTGACTGTACTATCAGTACTGAATGTTGACCTTGTATTATCAACCACTTCTCTTTTACTATTGTTGACGATATAAGTATGTTCTGGAGTATATTCGCTGGTAGTGCTCGTTTTACGCGATACAGTTCCGCTGCTGTTCAAACTTTCGCGACACTGGTTGTTTAATTGTTCAGCCAAAGTGGTTTTAAGGCCTTGCAGGGTATCCTCGTTGGGTTGAGAGTCGATAAATTGCTGCTTTAGGAGGATTTGGCTGGTGGAATCGTCACGCTGATAAAAAAAATATAACACTCAAAGATCTGAGTATGCAAAAACAAATTGTCTAAAAACTAACATGATAAAAAAATTAAATTTAAATATTTGTAAAAACAGAAGGTAAAAAGATGACCAAACTAAAAACGATAAAAACTCAAAATTTACTCCCCTACTTACCGATCTGTGTCTCCTGTGAGTTTTTTTGTGGGGATACCTTGTTAGAGATGCATGCCTCACCTTTATCATTTACCGTTAATAATTTATTAAAATTATTAGTAATTAAAAAAAGCAGCGTGAAAATAATTAGTATTGTTAGAATTTGTTGGGTCAAAAAACTTTTGTTATATCCGGCAACACTGTATTTCGGATGAAACTGTTAAAGTTGACATTCTTAAAGTTATATTCAGCTCAAGTTGACATTTTAAGGCAGTATGTGTATACATACACATACATTATTACACTTTATACATATATTTTATACTAAATGCTAAATCAGTATTATATTGTTTTATGGAAATAAATAAAAAATAAATATATAAATATATAAACGACAAAATTTAGACTGTAAACAAATAATTTAGATTATACACAAGTGTTTTTCACTAAGCTAACTTGGGAAATAAGGGACACCCTTACATTTTTTGACAGTTATGAATTTAAAAAAAAAAAACGACATAAATTTTCAAAACATTGACCAAATAATACGGGTTTTTAATGGTATTTTCTATGTTTTTAATTTTTTTGTGAAAAGATATTAACTACATATTTTAAATAATGTTATTATTTTTCAAAGTAATTTATCTCAATATGTTACAATAAAAGTTTTATTGTAAAAATCCGTTTCAAACCCAAAATAATCGTTTTTGTAAAAAATAACCAAATATTTAAATTTAAAATAAAGAAACACTCATTGTACATTTGATGTGAATGCCCACATTTTTTTCTATTTTTGTTTGCTAAAATTTACGAATTTCTTTAGTTTTTTCGAAATTTTAACTTTGTTTTTATAGTAAAATAAGTTGGACCACCATTGGCATTAAACGCGAAAAAATTTGCTTCTTAAAAAATGAGAGTTGCAATTTTGCCAAATAAAAGGTTTAAAAGTTTGCGATTTGTTATGAAATGCCCAATATGCAGTTATATTTTGCATTCTTAAGACAGCTAGCTTATTAAAATAGTTAGGAGTAACAAAATATAAGTATTTTACGTAATTTTTTTTTTAATTTTAGGTTAAAATGTTGTTAAAATGTATTATATCCTAGTATTTTATCCAAACACTTTAATTAATCAATTCATTCTACTTCTTGTTGACCAACTTTTTTTAATAAAAGTTTTTATCGTTCTAAAACCAAAAATCTTTATAAGCTTATTATTCCTGGGAATTAAAAAAAATAACATGTACATGTTACTACACATGTATCTACATTTTTATCCAATTTGTGATTTTTTTCACCTACTGGATTTTGAGTTTTGTTGGCCGTAATATTTAAATTTTACATAGTTAGAAAAAAAACAAGGAATCCAACAAGGTATTAAACTACATAAGTTATGGTGGCAATTATAAAAACAAAAGATGGTGATGGTAATTCAAAATATGGTAGCAATGAAAAGTGTATGCTTACATTTAAAACTTACTTTTTTTAAATTTTAAGAATATAGCGAAATTATAGCGATTTTTTTAAGAACCCCAGGGCTGTCATCAAACTGCAAATAAACCTTATTCTTTTGGCTGATATGGCCTCATTTGAAGCTTACAAATGCCTCTGTAAGAAACACAACGTTTAAAACGATTTTTAATCTGTAATAACAGCACAAACCCAAAGCACAAGAAATGTAAATAACATAAAAATGGCCGCCGTTAGAGTCTGTGCCGTGGGTTGCCTAACTTAGTGGTTTTTAGTATGCGCGAAACGAGATAGAACATAAGGTATGTTGTGTGGATTGTGAGCATAGATAATTCTAGATAATATCTAGGATTGAGAGTGAGTATTTCTTTACTGAGTATTATGTAGTATGTATGTTGTTTTTGGAGAATGCTTAAACAATGCAAGTCATTTAGCCTGTGTGTGTGTGTGTCAATTTAATGTTTAGTTTTTCTTCATAGATTTAATCTATGGTTTTATTAGTTCCTGACAGGGACTTCCTGTATTTGCTTCTGGTCAAGTCTTACGTAACATAAATAACCTTTAAGTAACGAATTTTACACTCTTTAATATTGTTGTTTATTGTCATGATGATTAAGAATAAATTTACCAATCTATTAGTACTCAATGTTGCCATTTAATAAAATATCTTTTTAAATGATACTTGATTACAGCCTGTTTCTTTAATGTCTTTTTATACGTTAATAAAACATGCAGTGTTATTAAAATGTGTATTTCCTTTCATCAAAGAGTTAAAATATTACTGCTACTTTTATCCACAGGGTATTTTAACAATTTTGAAAATATCAAGTATCAGTATAACACCCGTATATAAAAGAAACAAAGATTTATAAAAGAAATAAAGTCACAATCCAAAAAAGAGCATCAAAATCGAATAATTGGTTTGAAAAACATTTAACAAAATAATGATAAATTTATTGTTATGCGTTAGTTTCCTTTGCCAGTGTATTATAAAAAATATAAATATAATATTTTAAAAAAATAGAAAGAAAAACCCAGAGAAGACTGTATGGGAACATCTCCAACGAATACGAGATAACATACTAATTAATTAATTTCAGTTTCACGATTATTCTGTTTTTTTTTTGTTTTTTTACATATATTCAAGATATGTTCACCGGCTGAAGGACCTCAGTCAATGGCCATTTGTAAGAAATTGTATTAACTTTTTTTTTGCAATAAAGTTCATTTATTATTATTATTATTTAGAAAGAAAAGTTTGCTTATGATAGGCATCAAAAGCAGAATTAAAATAGTTAAAAAAAAAACAAATTAAAAAGGCGATTATTTCCGAAATACTTAAAAATATTATATGAAGGGGTAAGAAGCAAAAGGGTACATTTTAGCATGAAAATAATTTAAGTGCAGAATTGGGTAGTTTAGAGTCCAATTATTTTTTTTAATTTTCTTATAACATGAAAATTGTACGAGTTCTGCATGTCGATTAATGCAAACATTAAAACAAGTATCCAGATTTTTGTATTTAGCAAAAACTTAAGTTAAGTTAACTCCACTTCTTTTTTTTGCACTCATACCCTTCTGCCTTTTGCCCCTTTATATTATACAAGACATTTTTATGTATTTTTTAGGTTATTTAAAAACGAACAATATAATAAGTCTAAAGCCTGAATTATAGATTGCCTTCCTTCCTTCCTTCCTTCCTCCCGTAGAAGATGAACATTACGTAATTGTCACCATTAACATTTCCCGTGTAAGAATTTTTAATACTTTATGATAATATTTTGCAATTATAGTAATAAAAAAAATCAAAGAATAAAATATTTTCTTAACAAAATCATATTTTGAAGTTATTTTAATATTTTAAAGTATCAATAAATGTTAAGTTTTATTAAAATTAATAACGGGCAATGTTAATAGTGACAATTACGTCAAAAATGTTTATTTAAATCGTAGTGCCAGTTATAGATTCCCGTACCGTAAGGACGGCATTCCTTCCTCCCGTAGAAATTTTTAAGTTTTATCTTTCACCGTAAAGGTCTTTGACATGACCAATCACAGTGCTTGTTATGGACATGCGCTGTAGGGTGACAGCGCGTAGACACAAAATATTTAAAATACATGATTGTTTAGTATTATTTAAGGTAGGTGTTCAGTTTATTAAATAATTTGTGTCTCTAAATATATTTTTAGAAAGGTTGCTTTGTAAAACCCCGTAGTTTCCCGGTCTTGGTAAAGTGGGCGAGTCTTCCAACGTCTTGTTCGATGTTTTTTTTTTCATTATACTGCCCTAATATGGAGAAAGGCAGTAACTACAAATGCGTTTTCTTGTGCTATGATAAAGCTATGAACATTTTGTATCTTAATTCAACAAAGAAATGCAGTAAACTACCTTTTAAGTTAAATAAATCAGTTAAATACGTACTGCTTTTTATAAAAATTTAGTTTATGCTATTGCCTTTATCCATAGTTGGGCAGTATGCAACAAGCTGCCTGGGCAATTAAAATTGTGATCACTGCACTAATATATAAATGTTTATATTTCATATTTACACACAATGGGTAAAACGCAGAATATAAACAAAAACAAATGTCAACCATTTTAGGTGTCATCGCGCATGGTTACGGAAATCTATAAATTGACTTTTTACAAGACGCACAAATCGTACGGACACGACTACACTGAAAAAAATTTACGAAATTTTACACATCCAAACACACATTTATTTCTGTTTTTTTACTTAAGAAATGTGTTGTTCCATATAAAACATGTACACACATACTTACATAAGTAAAATAGCATCAATTTATGTATTTTTTTAAATTAATATGTAGTTTTTCATATTATTATGTAATAAATCCTTAAATTTATGTGCTTTTATAATTTTTAATGTACTTGTACTATTATTTTCCTAAATTTTAGATTTACACTGAAAAAAATTTACGAAATTTTACACATCCAAACACACATTTATTTCTGTTTTTTTACTTAAGAAATGTGTTGTTCCATATAAAACATGTACACACATACTTACATAAGTAAAATAGCATCAATTTATGTATTTTTTTTAATTAATATGTAGTTTTTCATATTATTATGTAATAAATCCTTAAATTTATGTGCTTTTACAATTTTTAATGTACTTGTACTATTATTTTCATAAATTTTAGACTTACATGACCTTTGCATTTTTACACATTATATGTAATTTTACAGTATGTTTGTACATATACATTTAAATACGTGGCATCAAAATAACCAACGATCAGATGTGTAAATTTACTAAATATTTTTTTGAGTGTACATGACCTTTGCATTTTTACACATTATATGTAGTTTTACAGTATGTTTGTACATATACATTTAAATACGTGGCATCAAAATAACCAACGATCAGATGTGTAAATTTACTAAATATTTTTTTGAGTGTACAGGAGGAAGGAAGGAAGGCAATTCAGGCTTTATTTGTTTATTTTTTTTTAGGTTAATTCAAAAACGAACTAAATTGTTCATCAAATCATTAGGTATATTAAAAAAAAATAGAAAGAAAAGTTTGCTCATGATGGGCATCAAAAGCAGAATAAAATTAGTTTAAAAAAAGAACAAAAAAATTAAAAAGGCGATTTTTTCCGTACCACTTAAAGTATATTAATAATAATATTATATTATACAAGATGAAATTTTTATGTATTTTTTAAAACTTTTTTTCGGATATCGCCACAATTTTAAATTTAAAAAAAAATAAACAATTCATTCTACTGTTGTGAAGCAACTTAATTAATTAAACAATTTTGTTTTCGTTTATATCATTATTTTTTTAATAAAATTAAAAAATAGAAAAAACGTTCACATGTGATGGGCATAAGTAGAATAAAATTAGGTTTTTAGAAAAAAATGTCGATTTTTTCGGTACAACTTACAATTTTACAAAAAAATGCTTATTTTTTTCAAATTCATATTTTTTCCGGTAATGTAAAAAAAAATCTAAAATATTCACACATCTTAAATTGTCAACTTACAAATAATATTGTTTTAAGAATGTCAATCCAGATATAACTGACATTTTTAAATTTTACAACACAAAAAAGATATCTTACCTTTCCTCTGCCCATGCCGCATTCGGGTATCTCCCCAGGCCTGGCCCTCAACTGATCAATAACCTCTTTCAAGTGATCGCTCAACTGCTTATAGGGCCCCGGCTTTAGCAACTCCTTTTTAACCATACCGTCTATAATCACCGCCGGAGTGGTATCGACCATGTTGAACTTGAAACTGATGGTTTTTTGCTTGCACAAAAGCTGGCACTCCACCGTACCGTCCTGCTGAACCGACGTGACGATCACCTGGTGCTTGAAGGAGCCCCTTTTCGCGCGGCTGTTGCGCTCTTTGCCGTCGAAGTTCAACTCTTCACTCACTTGCTCGGAAGTCGAAACGTCCTGATCCGCTTCGGCTTTGATTTCTTCGAGGTTCTGCACCTGTTGAACTTCCTCCTCCACGTTTCCCGGCACGGCAGGCATACCAACCACGTACTGCTGCTGGTAATCCTGGCCGGAAGCCGGTTGGGATACCGTGGACAACCGCCTGTGGTCCGGGGGGTCGAAGGAGGGCATCGGAGGCAGGGAGGTTGTGGAGACGCGGTGCTGATCTTTCACGGAGGATGTTTGAGACATTAGTTTTTGTTGGAGTTGCGCGAGGTTAATGGGGGCGATGTCGGTGGTAGATAGGCGGTGCGATACGAGGTTGGTTTGCTGTTGATCTGGGGGTGTTTCAATTGGGAGGTAAACCTAAGGAGAAATATGGTTTTATTTATTTTCCTCCAAAGAAATTGTCTACCATCAGGGCCGGCCCGAGGTACGGGCGAACCGGGCAACGGCCCAGAGCGGCATAATGGGGGGGGGGCATTTTTACGATTTGTTAATGATAATCAATTTTATTCAACATACTAAAAAATTTTCGATTGGCGATTTTTTTAAGAATTACGCTCGAGAAATGCAGTTTAGATAATTTAATATCTTTGTTACTAAGATTTAAAAGAGGCGCTCTCTTTCATTCGTTTCTTCAACCACATCCTGTAGTTTTCTATACTTTTGTTTGACAATTGACAATTAATAATTGACAAATATTATATCACGATCGTGCTTGTAAAATCAGTGCATTGCCAAGGTAGTTTGATAATTAGAAGTATAAAATGTCTGAAAAACGCAAAAAAGATTCAGGAACTTGTTATAAAAACAAAAGGTCGCGTGCGGCGGAAAATCAAGTACAAACACCAACCTTTTTCAAATTCTTGCAAAAAGAACCATCGTAGGCAGGTATAATAATTATACCATAATTAAACAATATTGCATATATGAAAATGAGGTTTTATTTTTGCTGTGTACATCTAAACATTGTTTTTATAGGTCTAAAATCAATTATCTGACGTGCATCACAGCAGCATTCGGGTTTGTCAAAGTCCGCTAAACTCATTACGTAATAAAAAAATGTGTGAATATTACCAGTAATGGATCAAGAAAGTTTCTTAAAGAAACTAAGAAAATTAAATGTTTCATTACGTAATTATTAAGTTAATTTACTTTTAAAGATGATTCACCTGAAGTAAGTTACTTAAAATGTTCGCACTCGGTCTGTATACTTTTACATTAAAAATACGATATTTTAACAGCAATTATGTATGTAATAATCTGAGCTATCGCGGAATATTGCGAAAGAAAATTTTAACAAACCAAAGAATTCTTGTAATTTAAAAATATTGTTTAATTATACTCACTATAATAGTGACACTATATACAGTAAGTATATAATAATATATAGGATATAATCATTGACAAGTGATGCAATTATGTATATATACTTAACAGTATATTGCCTTACCTAGTAATTCTAAAGCATAAAAAACTCTTATAAAAAATTAATAAATTTGAAAAAAATAATTACGTTAAACTCCTTTTTTCCTATTCCTGCTGAATAAAAAGGGGGCGGCAAAAATATCTTCGCCCGGGGCGGCAAAAAACGTCGGGCCGGCCCTGTCTACCATTTTAAAAGAGAAAATCTAAAATCTAATCAACTTGGTGCAACGTAACAATTACTTGAGTTTCACTTATTCATAAATAGTACTAACATAAGAAATAGTAGGACTTTAAAAGATGATAATTAAAAAAAAAAACTTTTTCGTACTTTTGTCCCAATTCATGCATCATACCTTTTAAATAACATGGAATTATTAATGCATTTTTGTATTGTTCAAAATAACAAAAAAATACTGTGAAAGTTTGAACTCTTAGTATTAATATGCATTGCAATTTTATATTTTTACTATGTCATTTCATAACTTATCAACGCATTGTTTGTATTGTTCTAAATGACAAAAAAAGACTAAAAGTTCAAACACTTTACAATGTAAAGTTTACATTAATATTCAGATTTTTTATAGCATTTTTGTATTGTTTGAACTCATAAAATAAATAAATATTCATTCCGATTTTATATTTTACTATGGAATTTAAACCTAACAACGCATTGTTCCAAATGACAAAAAAAGGCTTTGAAAGTTTGAACTCTTAGTATTAGTCAAATATTACAAATATTTCCCAATACCAAAACAAACGCAAAGTGCTTAAAGTACTTTTCGCCAACGCCAAAAGTACTTTAAGCACTTTGTGTTTTGTTTTGGCGTTGGGGAATATTCCTAATATTTGTTTAACACATTTTTCCTTTTTTAAGTATATCTTAGTATTAATATTCATTAAGATTTTTACTATGTAATTTTATACCTTATCAACTTATTTTTGTATTGTTCCAAATAACAAAAAAAGACTAAAAATTTAAACTCATCATATTAATAATCGCGATTTTTTATTTCTCATTTAATTTATATAGGATTTTTTAAAACCATTTTTGTATTCATCCAAATAGGCTGTAAATGTTTGAACGCTTAATATAATTGATTTGGTGAGAATAAGAACAGTACAAATCCAAAAATTTAATTTTGACAAGTCATTTTTAAAAATCAATTTTAAAGTTCAAAATACATTTTTGTAAAATAGTCCAGGAAACAAAGATTGTATAAGGAAAACTCGATGGTTTTATGTAGTGAGGGGTGCTGATAATGAATCAAGAATATTCCCCAAAACTTTCTTTCCGTGTCCCCTAATTTCATCTTCCGAAAGGGGAGTTTTTTTGCTTTTTAGCTCATAACTCGTTAACCGTGCATTTTTTCAGAATTTGACCTCTTGAACACTTTTGTTTATGTACTAAATAAGGCACGCGTTAAACCCCATTGCGCACCTATATGATGTGCCCTTTTGCTATGCGAAGTGTGCAAATTTGAGCGTTGCTTTCAAAATCACTTTTTTGTTTTTTTATTATAGCTTTATTTTAAAAGTAACCTTACGGTAATCAAACATAACCGAATTGACGATTTTTTGAGGTACTAGACTTTTTTAAAAAATTACTGCTTTTCAATGTACAAGGGGTTCTTTTTCCAAAACTTTAAATTTTTGTGGGGCACTTGCAATGAAAATAATTAAAAAAAACTACGGATTCGTTATGAGGATAAGTGTACCTAAAAATCTAGGGTAGAACGAACTGGCTCATTAAAGCCGTTTGTAGTACATAATCAAAAGTATTAGAGGTCAAATTCTGAAAAAATGCACGGTTAGCGAGATATGAGCCAAAAGGCAAAAAAACTCGCCTTTCGTGGGATGAAATTAGGGGACGCGGAAAGAATTTTTTGGGGAATATTCTTGATTCATTATCAGCACCCCTGACTCTACATAAAAAAATAAAACCCGACTACCATCGAATTTTCCTTCTACAATCTTTGTTTCCTGGACTAAAAAGATATAAATCATTTTACAGAATATGAACATTATATTTTATAAAATAGTTAAAATATTTCCACAAAAATGCATTTAGAAATATAAAACTTATTTTTTGAAATATTTTGTCAAAATTTTGACTTTTGGACTGTTCTTAATCTCACTCAATTATTCATTGCGAGTTTATACTTTTACTATGGAATTTTAACAACGCATTTTTGTATTGTTCCAAATGACAAAAAAAAGGCTGTGAAAGTTTGAACTCTTAATATTCATTTCGATTTTATAGTTTTACTATGGAATTTGATTACTTAATAACGATTTTTTAAATTGTTTGAAATGACAAAGAAAAGTCTGTGAAAGTTTGAATTAATATTCAGTGCGATTTTATATTTTTATGGAATTTGATTACTTAATAACGATTTTTTAAATTGTTTGAAATGGCAAAAAAAAGTCTGTGAAAGTTTGAATTAATATTCAGTGCGATTTTATATTTTTAACTTTAATTTTACAACTTTTATTGTTTCGAAAGACTTTGAAAAGTTTAAGCTTTTAATATTAATATTCGAATTGCAATTTTTTATTTACCATTTAAATAAGATGGGATTTTGTAATTTTATAACTTATCAACGCATTTTTGTATTGTTCCAAATGACAAAAAAAGCTGTGAAAGTTTGAAATCTTAATATAAATATTCATTGCGATTTTATATTTGTAATATGAAATTTTAACTTAACAACGCATTTTTGTTAAATAAATAAATAAAGTATTTATTGCATATTCAGAACAATACAGAACATATAATACAAAATATACAAAAGGCCATCGACTGGAGTCCTTCAGCCTCATTTTTGTTAATATTCGCGATTTTCTATTTCCCATTTAAATTATATGGGATTTTTTTAATGACAAAAAGACTATGAAAGTTTAACCTTTTAATATTACTATTCAAAGGTGCATCATCGCGATTTTATATTTAACATTTAAATAAAATGGTATTTTTTTAACATTGAAATTTTATAACCTATTAAAGCATTTTGGAATTGAAAAAAAAAATACTGTGAAAGTTTTTAAAATTGGCGAAGGATCTTCATTTATTTGCATTTAAAAGTAAACTTTAAAAATCATGTTTTTTAAATGATTTTCAACCTCACTGTTTTAACTTTAAGTTAAAGCCAACTTCAGCCCGTGGGCGAAGTAGCATTTCGCCCACAGGTTATAGTTAAAAAATGACATTTAAATGTCAAATAAATGAACAAAATAAAAAATGAGGTTAAAACCGCTTGACAGTTGTCAGATGTCAGATTAATTTTTTTGACATCGGACAACTGTCAAGCAGTTTTAACCTCATTTTTTACCAATCAGACAGGTTTAACCTCACTTTATCCCAATTTAAATATTAAATGTAGGAATAATTTAAAATATATCTAAAGAGTCAATGTTAGTTGTTTCTATTTTAATTGCAGCCTTAATAAAATGAAAACAAAAAAGTGGACATTAGTACTCACCGGTTGTTGTTGTGGTTGTTGTTCCACGTAACTTTGACCTTGAACAACAGGTGGCGGCTGTTGCTGAACGTAAGGTTGCTGCGGAATCGAACCCGGCCCTGGAACCACCTGTTGCTGCTGCTGCTGCTGAGGAGGAGGCTGTTGTTGTTGATACAACTGTTGCTGCTGAGGATCTACAACGACTTGTTGCTGCTGCTGTTGCGGTGGAGTTGCAATGTACTGTTGCTTGACAACATCAACATACTGCGGTTGCTGCTGAGGAACCGGTTGTTGTTGTGGAGGCGGTTGCTGATAAATTTGCTGTTGTTGCTGTGGCTCTGCAACGTACTGCGGTTGCTGCTGCTGAGGGGGTTGATACTGTTGCGGTTGAGGAGGTTGCTGTTGCTGATAACTCTGCTGTTGCTGATACTGTTGTTGCTGCGGCGGTATGGCCTGTTGCTGTTGCTGCTGAATGGGAATACTTTGTTGCGACATTGTATGAGGCGGAACTTGTTGTTGCTGTTGAATGGGCGGTTGTTGCATCGTTTGATACGATTGTTGCTGCTGCAAAACCGGCTGTTGTTGCTGCTGCTGAACGTAACCTTGTTGCTGCTGAGGTTGCTGATAGGTTTGTTGTTCGGGGGGAGGTTGATAGGCCTGCTGTTGAGGTTGCTGCTGCTGGGGTTGCTGTTGATAACTTTGCGGTTCCGCAGGAGGTTGATAAGTCTGCTGGGGCGGTTGATAGGCCTGTTGCGGTGGAGGTTGGTATCCTTGCGACGGTTGTTGCTGATAAGCCGGTTGTTGCTGTTGATAACTTTGCTGTGCAGCTGGCGGTGGTTGATAAGTGGCTTGAGGTTGTTGTTGCTGCTGCTGCTGCTGATTAAAATGCTGTTGTTGTGGTTGTTGATAGGATTGTTGTTGATGCATTTCCAGCTGACTATCAACGCTCAACCGGTGTTGCGGAGGATCGGATTGACCGGAAACGCAGAGCATATCCGGTTGAGATACGCTGGACACCTACATTAAAACAGTTATACAATTATATCTAGCTTAAGTTAGATTTAACTAAAAAAATGTAAATTTTAGCTAAATATGGCTGTTTTTCATTATTTACTTTATTAATCCTTTTATTCTATAATTATTTCGTTTTTGTATTATTTTATTCACTTATTTATTCTTTCCTCATTTTATCATTTATATCTTTCATTATTTTATTATTTCACGCTTTCATCATTTTATAACTTAACCATTTCATTTACACATTTTTGTATCCTGCTTCTTTTATTTATTAATGTTTCAGTATTGCATTGACTATATATAATATAATAATCAGTAGTGTAACAGTTACATTATTTTCAGTATTTAGTTACAGTTACTTAAAAAAAATTGTAACTAGATACAGATACAAATACATATTTTATTGCAATAACTAGTTACAGATACAGTTACCTTGAACAAGTATCTAGATTAGGGTGGCCCAAAAAAAAAGAATATCTTTTTTTTTCTCGTCTCTTGTAAAAATATGTTAGTTTATCATGCTGTAAGAGCCCTGTCAAAATATCAGCTCGATTAAAAAATTTTTAGGGGTCGCTCAAGATTTTTTAAAATTTTCAAAATCGTCAAAAATTGACTTTTTGTTTTATTTTAATTTTTTTTCTTGTCTCGATATTATTTTTTTGGTAGAAAATAATAAAAATTTTGAAAATATCAAATCAATATTTTAATTTCTAAAGGTCGCTAAAAGTTCGTTGGTATTTATATTCAGAGGTCGCTCGAAAACATTCAAAATACTCTACTTTGAAAGTTAAAAAAATCTTGAGCGACCTTTAGAAATCAAAATATCCATTTGAAATTTTCAGAATCATTATTATTTTTAAATTAAAAAATAATATCGGAACGAGAAAAAAAATTAAAATAAAAAAAAATCCAATTTTTGACGATTTTGGAAATTTTTTGCTCGGTATGTAGGTTCATTTTAACCCATAAATCCGATAGGTTAGTTTTTTTGGCTCACCCTAATTAACACGGATTTGAATTTCATTGGGTACATTATTAAACTCTAATAATAATAATAATAATAATATTAAGGACCGGTTTTTATACAATATAGAATTTAGCATTTGACAGTTTCACTTATCAAATAATATAAAATCACTGCAATTTCTGGTTTTATAGGAATGTACATCTTTACAAATAAATTCTTTAATTATTTCATCGTTTTTTCATAATTTCTCTCATTGATTCTTTCATCATTAATCGTTTTATCATTTAAATTTTTCATTTATTAATTTTTTCATTTCATAAATTATTTCATTCATATGTAATTTGTTTAGTCTCATATTGAGATTCTTTTATAATTTCAATTCTTCATTAATTTATTTAATCTTTCTTTTATCATACATTTTTTAGTCTGTCATTAATTTTTTATTATTTCAATTTTTTGTCAATTCATTCATTCATTTATTAATTTTTTCAGTCTCTCATCGATCATATCAATTTTCCATTTATTTATTCGGTCATTTATTATTTCTTTCATTCCTTAATTTGTTTAGTCATTTATTAATTCATAAAATGATGAAAGAATCTATAAGAAACTGAACAAATTATGAAGAAAGAATACATGAACTCATAAAAAATTGAAATGATTTCATAAATTCATTCTTTCTTCATAATATTTTTAATCTCCCTAGATCCTCTCTCATTAATTATTTCCTTTATTTGTTAATTTTTTCAGTCTCTCATTGATTCTTTCATCATTTAATCGGTTTATTTAAATTTTTCATTTATTTATTTTTTTATTATTTCAAGAATTCTTTCCTCCATACGTTAATTAATTTAGTCTATTTTTATAATATCAATTTTTCATTAATTTATTCATTTTTTCTTTCATCATACATTTTACAGTATATCATTGATTCTTTTATCATTTTAATTTTTCATTTATTTATTCTTTTTTTTTATTCATTAATTTGTTTAGTTTTTCATTGATTCTTTCATTATTTCATAAAATGATGAAAGAATCTATAAGAAACTGAAAAAATATGAAGAATGAATTCATAAAAAATGTGAATGAATTCATGAAAAATGTAAATGATTTCATGAATTCATTCTATATTTATAATGTTTTCAGTCTCTCATAGATTCTCTCTCATTAATTATTTCCTTCATTTGTTAATTTGTATAGTCTCTTAATGATTCTTTTATCATTTAAATGCTTCAGTAATTTATTTATTCTTTCTTTTATTATACATTTTTTAGTCTATCAATAATTTTTTCATTTCATTTCATTGGTTTATCATTTCAATTTTCCATTTATTTATTCTTTCTTTTATTCCTTAATTTGTTTATGCTTTTATTGATTTTTTCATCATTTCATAACAGGATGAAAGAATCTACATAAGAATCTGTATAAGAAACTGAAAAAAATATGAAGAAAGAATAAATGAATGAATTCATAAAAAATTGAAATGATTTCATGAATTTATTTTCTTTCATCATTTTCACATTTTAGTTTTTCATTATTTCTTTCATTAATTAATTTTATAACTTGATCGTTTTATCATTTCAATATTTCATTCTTTTTAATAATTTTTTTAGTCTCAATCATTTTTGTATCATTTTAATTTTTTATTCATTTTTTTTATCATTTTATCGTTTTAATATTTTATTCATTATTCCAATCCTTTTAAAGGAATAAAAGATTGAAATAATAAATAAAAGATTAGAAGAATAAAAAATGACAGACTGAAAAAAATAATGAATGAAAAAAATATTGAAGTAATAAAAAATTAAAATGATAAAATGATGAAATAATCTATGAGAGACTAACAAAAAGTATGAAGAAATAATGAATTCATGAAATCATTTAAAATTTTCATGAATTAATTCTTTTATTAATTCTTTCTTCATAATATTTTCAGTCTCTCATAGATCCTTACTAAAAAAATAATAAATGAAAAAATAAATGAATTTTTTAAAAATTGAAATGATAAAAGGATCAAATGATGAAATAATCAATGAGAGACTGAAAAAAAGAATGAATGAAAAATATAAATAATAAAATTTCTTTATTTATCATTACTTTTATTGATTCTTTTATTCATCAATTTATCCTAAAAATTGAAATCTTTTATATCACTCTTTCAAATATTTTATTATGCCATTCATATCATTCTTTTGTTCTTTATGAATAATTGTTTTTGGTAATTTAAAAGCTAGATTTTAGGTACTACAAAAATAAGAATGATAAAAAACCAAGTGGCTTAAACATAAATATAAGATACCTATTCATAGTTTTAATAAGAAAGTAAAGAAGTAATTTAAAAAAATCAACAACCAACCTTGTGTGGAACTCCTTCGGCGGAGACAGCGCTCAGATATTCGGCTTGTTGCGGAACGCCCTCCAAATAATTTTGCTGAACAAACTGTTGAGGAGGCACTTGAGGTTGTTGTTTGTGCACTATGGACTGTTGTTGTTGCTGTTGCTGGACAGGATCAACGCTCTGTTGCCGTTGTATGACCGGCGGACTCTGAGCCTGTTGCATGGTCATACTCTACAAGAAATAAAAGTTTATCAAGTTTTTTTTCTAAAAAAAAATTAGTCAATGTTTTACCTGCGGTTGTTGTTGTGTGTCGTTGCTGATCTGTTGCTGATAAGCTGGTTGTTGTTGTTGATGGGGATCCGGCAACATTGTCGGCTGTTGTTGCTGGGGTGGTTGTTGCTGTTGCTGAGCGTACTGATGATGTTGCATTATAGTGTCGCTGGGTTGTTGTTGCTGTTGCTGAGGCTGTGGAACGTATTGGTTCTGCTGAATCACTTGTTGCTGCTGCTGTTGTTGATCCATTTGCATAACGTTCTGTTGATTTTGCTGTTGATACTGCTGTTGTTGTTGTTGATCGGCCACCTGTTGTGTGTACTGCATTTGTTGCTGCTGTTGATCAGTGGGTTGCGGTTGTTGTTGTTGATAGCTTTGTTGCTGAGTGTACTGAGGTGGAATTTGAGGTTGCTGAGGTTGTTGCTGGAAATTCTGGTCATACTGCGGTTGACCTTGTTGCTGAAAACTACAACAAAGGAAAAATGCTGTTAAAAACGCGAAATGGCATGTTTTCAACACCTACCCAGATTGAGGTTGATTCTGCCCCGGCTGTTGATACTGCTGCTGACCTTGAGGCTGTTGGTTTTGTTGCGGCTGCGTCGATTGCTGTTGGGTTGGTTGCGGCTGTTGTTGAGCGCTTTGCTGCTGTTGTTGTTGCTGCTGCTGCTGTTGCTGAAAATTTTGCTGCTCGGCCTGCGTTTGCAGGAACTGCTGGTATTGCAATTGTTGCGCCAGGGCTTCCTGCTCTTTATTTCTCTGCTGTTCTCGTTCTTTTGTTATTTGCGCGATTTGTGCCTTGAGCAGTTGAGCTACCGTCTTGGCGTCATCTTCGAAGATGATGCCAGATTTAGCCTTAAAAGAAAGTTACAACAAAATGAAAAACAAACAGTTACATTTCTTACAGAAATGCTCAAAATCAAGTCAAACTGTTTATTGGCGCAAAATAGAAGATCTATAAGCAGTTCATTCTGAACCACAAACATTTTGACATTGTCACGGCACCACAAGCACTTAATTTCAAGCACACACGAAAATTTTTAGTCCTTTTGTTCACAGATGTTATATTTTTTCAAATTAAGCAAAACAATAACACAACTTGTCAGAATTAACCGATTTTTGGCAAGACTTTGACAGTACCAATGTGTTTCCATGGATAAAGGTATTGGAATCACATGTCGTCTGGTGGCCAAATATCGATGACTTAAGTCATTAAGAAATTAAGAAATTTCTGCCAAAGTATCGCAAGCATCATAACTCAAATTTCGGTACTTGTTATAAAACCTTTAGGCTATATTTAATTTAAAACAGACTATAAAACAAAAAATGTTCTCAATTCCCGAAATTTGAGTTATGTTGCTTGCGATACTTTAGCAGAAAGTCATCAATATGTTATTAGGATAAAAAAATTTATAACAATATTAAAAACAATCTATTAAATATTAGAATTATTGAGAATGGACTCTGCAACGTTTTCTCCTTTCTCCAAAAAGAAGTTTGTGCCATAAAAGGTTGTGATAGAGCTTATAATAACAGCGTGTAGAAATTAAATAGACAAACAAATATTTCAAGTAACTTTTTTATAAAGCTCAAAAATAGGAGATCAATTTAAATTTTAATGCCGGTCCTGACTAGTGTTGCCGAAAAGTTTTTTCGGAAATTATTGTTGCCAAACGTAAAAATGTGAAATCGAAAGAAACTGACGTAACTATTGGGCTTTTGTTGGTTAAAAATAATTATAAAATAGTATATTATTATTTGAGAGATAATGAGCATAATCTCGACTGTAGTACTACACTTTATGTACTCCAATAAGTAGATAATTAAATGATTTTCAAATCTAAATAAATAAAATCTGACATCTGTCAAATGGTAAACCTCTTTTAAACAATTTTAAATGTTATTCTTCCAATTTAAAACCCGATTGGTTCAAATCACAGTGAATATTAAAATCGGTCAATCACTGATGCTTAACAACGTGACTAATGAGTCTATTATTCCCTTTTTTACGCAGGGAATTTATAATGTTTATGATTATTCACGGAAAAAAATCAATATTATGCAATAAATAAATAATATTATTAATAACTAAAAATAATTAAAAAAAAATTAAAATCAGGCATAATTTTTTTTAATCACGCCCATGTAAACTAACTATTTAGATGGGAGTATACGAAGATCGGTTAGCATGTCAGCCAAAACATGTACACTGCCCTACTAGGGAGAAAGGCAGTAACTACAAAAAAAATCTTAATGCGTTTTCTTGTGCTATGATAAAGCTATGGACATTTTGTATCTTAATTCAACTAAGAAATGCAGTAAACTATCATATAAGTTAAATAAATCAATTAAATATCTACTGCTGTTTATAAAAATTTAGTTTATGCCAATTTTCCACATATTTCTTGTTTAGCAGTTACTGCCTTTCTCCATAGTTGGGCAGTACAGTCGCGCAACAAAAAAATTGAGTTTTATGTCAGACCCAGCGTTGCCAGTGCCAGTGCTTTTGTACTGAAATCAGTACTTTTTAAGGTCTGTCAGTACATCAGTGCTATTTTCATAGTGTCAGTAGGTTTTGCAAAATTTCCTTCCCAACCAAAAAAAGTTAAAACTTAAATAAATGACAAAGAAAACTATAAAAAAATTCCAATTAATTTTTTATTGACACCTACCACTAGACCGGCTAGATCATTAAGGCTTCAAAAACATAAAAAGCAATCACGGTGCAAATTGTCAATGCTAACAAATATTTTGGTATGTTTTAAATTGCCTGACCGCCGGAGGGTCAAGTTCTTTGAGTACGAGTATTAACATTAGATACAAGATACAAGAAATATAAGCAAAATTTTAACAAAACCCCATTGTTTTTTTAAACTACATTTTTAGTCAAATCAGTACGTTTTTCATTTCAAATCGGTACAGAATTTTTTCGTGGTCAGACCACACAATAGTAGTTACAGATTAAAATTGGTATCTTTGAACGTATTAAGGATGATTTTCATGCATAGTTTCGTCTGACTAACTTGAACATGTTAATTTGACGATAAAAACATTTTTTCTAAAATGGAGAATTTTAAAAGTATTTCCCTTCCGGGATATACTCGCGCGCAGAATTGTGGTCAAGCTAGCTTGAGCTAGCTCGTAGCTACTACATAAATAATAGGTACCTTAATTGAATACGTCAATGCAGAAACTGAATATGTCCTACCTATCTAGTTTTGAGATAAATAAGAAAAACTGAACAGAAAGTGGACATATGTTCTGGACATATTCAGTTTCTCTACTATATTAACGCCTTTGTATATTCTAGATTACCGTGACATGTGAAATTTCTACGCCATTCGATCGGGCTCCCTTTACTTATAGTAAATCCATGTTTAACTCAATAGCCCTAAAAAGTGGACATATTCAGTTTCTGCATTGACCTATTCAATTATGTTCAATACAAAAACGCTTTTGCAATATGTGGTGATAACTTTCTGTTCTTTGCACGCAAAACTATAACCCGTATTCAAAATTAAACCCAGCCCATCTGACAGACACCAATAAAGTGTTTATTTGACAAGAAAAAATGGATACTTTACTTACCATTTCCTCAGCAATAGTCATATATCTGTCGGTCTCCATATCAAACTCAAACTGTATGGCCTCGTTCTCCTTGTGTTTATGCGTCCTTTTTTTAGGATCAATTACCCTCAACCTAAACACGATTTTTTTAGTTTCTTGAGACACCACCTCGACTTTTAAACCGACGTCTTCTTCGAAGAAAACGTGCGTCAATAGATCCTTGACTTTAGGTCGATCCTCCTTACGAGGTTTTATGCAACTTTCGATCACATTCTGGACCTCCGGGTTTTGGACTTTGTCAAAACTTGCCGGTTTTACACCCTGAAATAACATGACATTGTTAAGCTAGATAAGAAATCTTGCGATATTTAGCTTCTTAAGACAGTTATATCTAGCTTAAGTTAATATTCTTAATATAAGAGAGTTTTGTATGACATTCTTAAGACTTTTACAAAAAAAATATTTATTTTTGAATCTTATAGTAATATCGTTTTAAAATTTGTTGTGCAATTCGTGAAACCTTGAAAAAAAGTTTTAATTTTCCTATTTCTTGAATGACTTTACAAAAGAAATTTAAAAAATCATGGAGGCTGGTCTCAACTTGGGTTTTAAAATTTCCGAAAAAAGCCGGCAGAAAAAAACTGGTTTTTTTTTCGAAAAAAAAAACGGAAAAATTGGAAAATTTTCAGAAAAATTAACTTTTATTTTTTTTTTCCAAATTTTTACGGATAGTATCCACTGATATCGAGAAAATATAATATAATCATACACAAATTTTCGATGAATTTCAATCGCAAATAACTTTTTTATTTGATGTCGGATTTAAACAAATATTAAAGAATATTGTAGATACATTATTGGAGAATCGCTCACATATTAAAAATTACTAAAAAATACACGTACGTTTATAATATACAGGTTTAAACAAAAATATGTTTTCTTACTACCTCGACTCAAAATACGTTGTTTCGTTCCCGATTCCACGGCAGAAAGTTTACGTTTTATGCATTGGTCAAGCTATACGCGCACACTCTAATAGCGGGAGTAAAAATTTTTTAGTCGTGTGCTTAACATTCAAATTTCGTACTGCCAACATGAGAAACACAAAAATATGACAGTTTTAAACCATAATTTTGCAATTATAACAACAAATAAACAATTTATGTTTTTACTTTTTTATGTTGTTTGAAGTGTTTAATGGTACTTTTATTTGTTATAAAGTAGTAATTTGTTAATTAAAATACGTTTTATTTTTACTGTATTGGCACCGCTGAATTCACGGCCTACTGTTATTTATTTATCAAGCTCTTCAAATGGAGATAGGTACATAAATACACATTTAATTTTTTCCCGTATTTTCGGCCGGGTTGTATTTTCGGACGAGGTAGTAAGAAAAATAGTATACACTACATGGGCAGAAAGTGTGAGAGTCCTGAACTGCGCGCCATGATGCCCTCACACTTTCTGCCCTTGAAGTGTAATATACTATTTTTACCATAAGTTCAAGACACTATGTAGAGTGGCAAAACCGTATATTGTTCTAAGTTTTAATTATTAAGTCACATCTATTTTTAACAGTTTTGTTTTTGGTTCACCTTGATATATTTAATTTGTGGAAAATATGGATTTTAAAAAAAAAACATTGCAATTTACAATATTTTTCCTATATGAAGAACTAAGGTTGCTATGGTCCATCCATAGCCTAAGGAGGATGACAGTGACAGTTTTGTTGAATCATCCCATACTTGGACATGTCATATACAGCTTTCAAAAGCTATCAAATTGTTTTTTGTAAATTAATGTGTTAATTTTGAGGTGTCTTCTTACTTTTAAAAATGTCTCCGACATGTTGCCCTTTGTACTTTACTTCTTGTGACGTTTAAAAGACTTGTCGCGTAATACTGTGACCGTCCATCCTGGATTAAATTATTGGCTCTGGCAATATCATTCGGAGACATATCCATTTTTTAAAGTAAGAAGACACCTCAAAATTTAAACATTAATTTGCAAAAAACAATTTGATAGCTTTTGAAAGCCGTGTATGACATGTCCAAGTATGGGATGATTCAACAAAACTGTCACTGTCATTCTCCATAGCCTATGGATAGACCATAGCAACCTTAGTTCTTCATACAGAAAAATATTGGAAATTGCAATGTTTTTTTAAAAATTCCATATTTTTCACAAAAATAAATATATCGAGGTGGTTTAGAACAATATACGGTTTTGCCACTCTACAGAGTGTCTTAAACTTATGGTAAAAAATATCTTTTTATTTAAACCTGAATATTATAAACGTACGTCTATTTTTTAGTAATTTTATAAAATGTGAGCGATTGTCCATTAATTTATCTACAATATTCTTTAATATTCGTTTAAATCCAACATCAAATAAAAAAGTTATTTGCGATTGAAATTCATCGAAAATTTGTGTGGATCGATTATTTTGCCTGTGAGTGTATTATGATTATAATAAATATTCCTTTTATTTTAATTTAGTAAGAATATTCTACCGGGCCGCAAAAAACATATTCGGTGATGTATTAACATAACTTTTATTTAACACATTTATAAGATTATAATTTTGTAATTCAACTTTATAAATTATTCATTATTTTGTAGTTGAACATTTTTAATGGACTCCTTTTTGCAAAAAAACAACCAACAGAAAATCAATTTAAATTAAAACAATGGTAAGAAGTTGATTGCTACTTTTTCGAATGTGTGTATTTGAAAAAAAAATTCATTTTTTTTTAAGTCAATTTTTCCAAGACCTGGAAAAAAACGGAAAAAACAGGTTTTTCCCCAATCTTTTCGGTTTTTTTTTCGACACTTTAAAACCCTAGTCTCAAGCAGTACTAAGACAAAAAAAATTCAAAATGGCGTGGCAAACTAATTTTTATAAAACCCCCTCCTCAACTTTTTTCTTGCTCCAAGACAACCTTAATATTTTGAAGAAAAAAAAGCTGAATTCTTACCGATATGACTTTCTTGTAGATCTGCGCAGGCCCAGTACACTCTGAGTAGGGGTATTCGGACGTAGCCATTTCCAACATGCACATGCCAAAAGCGTAAACGTCAACCCCTTCGTCGTAATGTTCTTCGTACATTTCTGGCGCCATGAATTCAGGCGTACCAATAACCTAAAATACAAAAAAAAGTTTTCGAAATGTTCACGAGAACACGTTTTTTTACTCACAGATTTGGCAAAACTTCTGTTTTTCAACGTGGCCAAACCTAAATCGCCGATTTTTACAGAACCCGTAGTTCCCGTGATAAAAATATTGTCGCACTTTAAATCCCTGTGTATGATTGGCGGAGATCGCGAATGCAAAAAAGCCAAACCCTTCAGAATCTGTCGACACCAGGATTTCAACACTTTCGGGTTGATTTTCTTGAAACGACGCAAATACCTATAATTAGAGTGATATTTATGAACTCTTACCTCTATCTACCACATCTTTAGTCTTACGTTTTCAATGTCCCGCTCAGCATGAGTTCGGTGACGAGGACGATGTTCTTTTTCTTGTTCCCCGGCGCCTCCCAGTAGTTGTAGAATCGCACTATGTTCGGGTGTTGCAGCTTTTTCAGCATTTCCGCTTCCTCCCTGAAGCGCTGCCGTTCGGCCTTGTTGAGTTTTTTCTCTTGCAACTCGCACCAAGCCACCGCGACGCCGGTTTGCGTGTCCAAGCCTCTGTACACGGTTTTGAAGGAGCCTCTTCCAATCTGTAAAAAATTATCCATTGTTACAGTGCGACATCGATAATCCTGACGAATTAAAACCATCATCGTTTATGCATTAGACATCGAAAAAAAAATATTTTTTGACTGTACAAATGGTAATTTATGCAACAAGAATATAATCAACACTTTGCACGTATTAGAAACTTTTATAACGAGCTGAAGGCGAGTTATAAAACTTCATAGTGCAAAAAAGTGGCTTATATTTGAGTTGCATATATTATTTTTTCTAATACCATAATAATGTCACAAACTACTAAAAATGTTTACATTAATAATTATTCTATTTTGACTTTTTTTTAAATTTATTTATTACACCTTCAAAAAATACAAGATTCCATATCAGGTACAACATGTAGGTAATATTAAATATTTATAATTAAGGGTTACAATTCAAAATATCACAGTAGTATCACAATTTTACTTTTTTATTTACATATTATTTCTTATTGATATATATATATATTGATAAAGGGTACATTGTCACCTCCAAAACGGAGATCCTTCATACGTTGTGACCTCATATATGACGCTGTGACCTCCAAATTCGGAGGTCACAGTGTTTAACCATATTTTTGAAATTGGGGGAGTGTCAATAATCAATCTGTGCAAAAATATTTCGGAGGTCACTTTGACCCCCCAGTCTCTTAAAAAGGAACTTTTAGTTCCACCATATATGAATTGGCGCTAGTGTCGCTTTTTAATCAGATTCAGCCACACCAAAGTTACCTCCGTCATGTATACGTACATTTGTTACCTCCGAAATTTGGCAACCTTGCAATATCTCGCGCAGTCATAGATGTTCAGACTTGATGATCTTTAATACTTCTTATATGTTATTTGTTACGCAGTTTCGCTTTTGTTCTAACATCTTAAGTGTAAAATAACGATTTAAGTTAAAAATATATCTTCCAGGATTTAATTAATAATCCAGAGAGTCGGTTTTCAAGGTAAGTAAGTTTTTAGTACTTAATTAGGTAAATGCATTATGTTTATAGAAATGGATATTGTAAAATAATTCTTTTAGATTTAGACGATACTAGTAATGATGAAATAATTACCAAAAAAGATAAAGAATTTAAACAAAAAAGTACAAAATGATTTTAACACATAAATGTGTTTAAACAATAAATGTGTTTAAACAATATTTTTTACTCACACAATCATTTTTCACTTTTATTTGTTTAAAAATGTGTTATTATTTTTAGGCTGCACAAATATGGAAATCGGGTTAATAAAGGATAAAATCCTTAACCATATTAAAAAAATATTTATTCATCTAGCAAAGAAATTAAATCTTTTCTAGAACAAACGAAAATAAAAAGAAGTGTATCCCTTATTAAAGCCAAAGTCCAACACCTTAAGAAAAACGAAAAAAAACATTAATTAGTTACTCTTATGATAATTATAATTATAATAATTATTATTCATAACTATTTTAATAGATAAAAATGTTTTATTTATTTATTTATTTATTTATTTAACATCCAGATACACGTGTACAGAAAATAATTTCTGCCTATTGGAGGTAATAAAATTACCTGTACATAGGTCCGGTACATAACTTAAAAACTAGGATCTTAAAACTAAACTAAAACTAAAATAATATATAATATTTTCATTATCATTGCGAAAACAGTTTATAATTCCAACATTTAATACTATTAAGTTAACAATGAATTATTGGTACAGTTTTTGGTAATCCAGTCTTTTAACATTTGTTTAAACTTAAAAGTAAATTTGTTTTTTGGGATATTTACTACTTTGATGTTATTAGGTAACATGTTGAAGATTTTTATACCATTGTAGAGACTAGTTTTTTTACCAACAGCAAGCTTGACTTTTGGCAGTACAATACTTTTAAACCTAGTTGTTTTATTACTATTTTTGTACATAACGTACAAGTTATTAAAATTGATAAGTATGGTTTTTAAATAGTAATTTTGATAAATATTAAGGTGGTTGTTACAAAACTGATCATTTCCCAGAATTACCTTTAGTGCCCTTTTCTGCAAGTTTAAAAGTGGCAAAAGAGCATTTTCATAAGCAGAGCCCCATGCGGCAATTCCATAAGTGGCAAGGCTATTAAATAGACCATAGTAAATTACCAACAGTGATTTTGTGTTTAAAATAGACTTCAATTTTGCAAAAACAAATAGGAGATACCTAAGACGCTTTGTAACCCATTCGATATGCTCCCGCCATCTTATTTGTGTATCAATAACTACTCCAAGGTATTTTGTACTTTTTACTCTTTTTATTAAATGGTTGTCGATTTTAATATTAACAGTGGCAGGATACATATCTATGTAATTAACAAAAGTTATAAACACTGTTTTATCTATATTTAGAGATAGCTGATTGTCTTTAAGCCATTTTGAAATTAAAGTTAAAAAGTGATTTATTTTTTCAGTTACTATTTTCCAGCTAGCATCAGTGCACAATAGAGCTGTATCGTCAGCGAAAGCTACAATGTTTTCAGATGGAAGTAGTCGAAAAACATCATTGACATAAACCAGAAATAACAAAGGACCAAGGATTGTACCTTGTGGAACCCCCATAGTCAACTCACTCTTACAACTTTCAATGCCATTTATATTTACATATTGGCTTCTTTCATTTAAGTAACTTCTGATCAATGTCAATGCCGTTCCCCGAATGCCATAGCGGTATAGTTTATCTAGAAGTCTTTCGTGTTTGACTGTATCAAACGCCTTAGCAATATCAAGGAAAACAGCAATTGCAGGACGACTATTATCTAAACTATTGTAAATATAGTCAGTGACATGTACAAGAGCATTGCTCGTACTTGAACCTTTTTTAAAACCAAACTGATTCCCTGATATTACATTGGAACTGTCAAAAAATTTGCAAAACCTATTATGAATTAATTTCTCAAAGACCTTAGCTAAATTTGATATTAAAGAAATAGGACGATAATTATTTGGATCTTCACGATTACCGCTTTTATATAACGGTATGACTTCAGCAACTTTAAAGTGTTTAGGGCAGGTACCCGTGTTGAAACAACAATTTATTATGCTAGTTAAGGCTTTACTCACTTGCTGTTTTAGTTTTTTTAGGACAGTTGCATTGATATGGTCTACTCCACCATTTTTGTTTTTTAAATCATCAATAGTTTTTTCAACCTCTTCCTGGGTAACTGGATACATAAAAATAGAATTTTCTATATTATCTATTTTAATAGAATCAGACTCATTCTTTTGTGTTTCTATTTTTTTTGCTAGTTTTTCACCTATCGTGGTAAAATGCTCATTAAACAGATTAGAAATCTCTTTTGTATCTGTAGAAACTTTACTATTAATTTTTAATTTTGTTATAACATTTTTTCCAACCTTCTTATTTTTTATTTTACTATTAACAAAACTCCACAATTTTTTTGAATCATTACGAAATTTTTCAACTTCAGATTTTTCATACTTAAGTTTTGCATATTTTATCAAGTTTGACAGTTTGTTGGAATAGTTCTTATAATTAATTTTCTTAAAGTCATTTTGTGGATCGTCCATCCATATTTTATGTAATTTATTTTTAGTTTCACAGGATACTTTTAGGCCGTTTGTTATCCATGCATTTCTACTCTTGGGAATATTTGTACATGGTAGAACTTTAGATGATCTTTTGATTAAGTCATTAATTATATTAATCAAATGGCTTACTTGCGTATCCACATTTGAATTTTCTTTTATATACCAATTTACTGAGGTTGCTAGTCTTTGAATTTTATTGTAGTTTATACAAACTTTATTTCTTTCTGCTGATATTTTATTTTTTGCCTCAGCCTCAATTACTAAAAACAGTGGGTCATGATCAGTTAGCTTATGAAGCAGCTTGAAAGGATAGGTAGAATATTTATTACACTTACTAAAAATATTATCAATACAAGTGCCCCCACCATTATCATTACTTCTTGTGATAGTCCAAAAATTAGGATAATACTGGTTTTCAAAGTAATTGTTTAAATATAATTCATTATTTTTATCTAGGTTTAATATGTCAATATTGAAATCACCAATAATAAAATGGTTTTTTATTTTTTTATTTACTATTAAAAAATTATTTAGGTCCTCTATAAATTTTTTTTTATCAATATCATGACATCTGTAAACAGAACTAAATACCACCTGATCACTTTTAAGTTTTACATTTATATTCATAACTTTAACATTACCAATTATATCAAAAGATGCCTCGGCATCAACATTTAAATCCACATATACAACTACACCATCAGCTTTACTAATTTGAGTGTCACTGTAGTGCATATCATATCCATCAAGATTAAAAAAAGCAGGGCAATCTAAAATCCAAGTTTCAGTGCAAACTATTAATTCAGGTTTAAAAGTCAAGCTGTCAAGCAAAACCTTCAAACCTTCAAAGTTTTTATGTAGGCTCCTGATATTTATATGCATCACAGTAAAACCCAAATACTTTTTAATAGAAGTATTTAAAAATTTTATTGAATCACAAACAATTTCAGAATTTATAAATTCATTTAGCTTTTCTTCTTCCTTTTGAAATATATTGACAAAAAATTAAATAAGAATTAATTGATGTAACCTTTACTATAGTTTGTCCTGTTGATAATAAAATTCTTCTTGTTTGTAAGCGACGAGCAATTTTTATTATCTGAAGCACGATGATCAGTTGCACAGTTTGATTTGTATTTTTGATTTGCAAAGACACAATTAGAACATTTGTTGGCGTTATTGTTATCACAATCACTAGTGAGATGGTCACCAGCACAAATACTACACTTGGCAACATTTTCACATTTTTTTATAGAATGACCAATCTGTGAGCATTTTTTACAAATTTGTAAATTTAGATTATTATATACAGGGCATCTAGACCAACCAATGTTTAACTTCTTATTCGACATGAGATTGAAATATGTATCACCATCCACTTCAATGAATGCTGTATAGTTATTTAATTTTTTATTTAATGCAATATGTGATATT